ATATTTTGCCCTGCCGGGAATCGAACTCAGGACCTCTCGCTTGCGAGGCGAGTTAGAGAACCGCTGAGTTAGAAATCTACTTCAGAGGCTCTGTGGGCGCATGATTCCTCCTGATATTACTATTCACCTTTCGCCCACAAAATCTACGGTACTTCTGTACCTAGATTAAAGTGCGTTTGCACACACACCACTTTATTATCTACCAAAACGGTATTCAAACACCTTCAACAGGATAAGGGAGGAGCACGCTTCAGGGAAACTGAAACACTCGAACACATCAACCCCTTAATCTCCCCATCACTCAAACTTTGGCAAACAATGCTACTACTTTGCAGCCCTGAATCTGAAATGTAAATTGCCATGCAAACTGGAGAATCACTGGAGAGTTTATTTCCAGGGATTTAATACAACAATACCACAACAATCCTTGCATTTGGTATATAGCGCCTTATCACATTGTTGAGACGTCTCAAAGCACTTCATAGAACAACCAAGTTCTGACTTACTGCTAAGTAAACAGAGGCGTGTGGAATAAGGAAACTTGCCTTAGGTTTCGCTCTGCCGGTCCTCTCATTTACGAGGCGAGTGCTCTAACCAATACACTACCGGACTCCTACAAGGCAACAGTGCATATGGCTTCATAATCAGTGATAAAGATGACAGAAGGCACGACATGCCGAAGGACACACGGTATTGTAATCTGACCAGGCAAAAATCAGACAAGAGGCTGACTTGCATTGACGGGATGGGATCTCCCCCTAGCGGTCATTTACGAGAAGCTGGAGAGACTGGGAGACGGAGCGGTTCTGGATTGTTCTTGGGAGTGATCAGGATCTTATCGAAATAAAAATGTTTTGATCATCAACAACTGCAGCGAGGGAGGGGAAAGGATGAAGGCGTGAAAGAAGTAGCAGTACTCAGCCTTCCCCGGGGAGTAATGGCACCAACACCAGCTGCAGTTAAGTACACGGTGTTCAGCAAACACAGAAGGCTCGAGATTTAATGAGTAAGAACTGCTATCCTCCTTGGCTGGGGGGTGGCGGGTGGGGGTGGGTGGTAAGCGGAGTCTCCTTGAAGCTGAACTGGCTCCGAAGTGACATGCCTGGCGACGGGGTGAGTTGGGCCGGACACTCGGGACAGTGCGAATTCCATTCCAACAATCTATCTCTGGGAATTTCCGTGTGTAGATGGGATACGTGGAAATCTCGGTTTGGTTTGGACACTGTTAAGCACGGTGATGGGTTTCTACATGTGTCAAGACAGCTGGCTGACCCAAAAAGAAAAAAAAAAAGGTCTGCTGTATTTTAGCTCAGATGTGCGATCCAGGCCATATAATAATAATACTTGCGTTTGATATAGTGCTTATCATGTCGTTGAGATGTTTCATTTATATTGAAGTTATACTGACACCTGACATAGCCTTTGCCCCAAAAAATGGACACTGGTGTTACATTAAGGCTAAGATCTTAAGACAAGGGCCTTGAGAATTTCATGCCTCTGATTCTGCATTTACATATATACAGAATGACCCTGTTATAACGCTTATAAGATAAACCTGCACTACATCAACAGCATGCTACACTTCTGGCTTCCAGTGTTGCCTTTAAAATCCCACCCGAAGACACCATGTAATTAGCATAAACAAATTTAAGGGAAGTAGGAAAGTCTGTACCCGAATGTAGAAACCTAGTTTTGTTGTGTTAAAGAGTCCACAAATTGTTTTAAAAGTAGGTCAACATTTGAAATAAAGAATATCAAAAGATTGCATGGAAAGCGAGAGTACAATTAAACTGGGTGACTTACGCGGAGAAAAACAACAGTGCAGCCTTATAATATCCTGTGATTTTACCATTTCGTCCGCAGAATGCGCTAAACGCATACAAATGTTTTGTCTTGTTTTTGCTGAGTCTGAATTGATGAATGGGATGAATTGAACTGAAAATAAAGTCTTGCCAATTTTGTTTAATGATGTGCAAATCTCTTCCCTGCAGTCTCAAGCACGCCCGATCCTGCTGAAATTTATTCCCAGGCCTTTTCCGCCCCACCACATTGCTGAACAGATTCCTGAGGCTGCAGTTCCCATTACTGTGGAATCCATTATTTACATTGCAAGGTGATTTCTACACCACATACCTTTGTTTGCTTAGCAGTAAGCGGGAACCCAGTTGTTAAATTTGGCGGATTGCTTTCTCGGGGAAATAACTCCTTTAAAAATAAATTGGTCACTCAATCCACGACTGTTCTGTGTCAGCTGCCGCATTTCGCCCACAAATGACTCCACTTTACAGTATATTCCGTGAAGCGGTTTGAGACATCTCAACAATTTGATAAGGCGCTATCTCGAATGCAAGGATTATTATTTTGTTATTAAATTGATTCTAAGAATAACAGAGAAGTCAATCAAGCCAATTCTCTGTGTTGGTCTCAGAAGTCCAGTTCCTGGATCAACAGCAACAACTTACATTTATAAAGCGCCCCTTGACGTTGACAGAGCCTGATGCTGAGCCAGGGTGTGGAGGGAGGTGACCATAAGCATGGTCGAAGAGGAAGGTCTTCAGGCCGACCTGAAGATGGGAAAGGAAGGGGCAAGGCGGAGGGATAGAGGGAGAGGGTCACAGAGTTTCGGGCTGTAGAGGGTGAAAGCGCAGCCACTGATGGTGGAATGGAGGGCACAAGGGACAAGCAGGAGGTCGGAGCCAGTTGAGGGGAGCGCGTCAGTTGTGTCCACAGTGCTCCACGATATTAAGCAATCCTGGACTTGTCAGGACAATGAAACTCTTCCTACTCGGCACCAATTATCCCTAAAGGCAAGTTTTAACAGGGCAGGGTGAGAACTGGCTTGTAGGCAGCAAACAGCTTGCCACAGGGTGCTCACAATGGCAACTCACGCAGTTTAACTTTGCTTTAACTCAGGCTAAGCCCATTCTGGGTTCCCAAAGACTTGGCTCTTGCCAGCCGGCACTCGATATTTTCCAGGAACAGAATGCACGCTCAGTACCAGACAAAGGGAAAGTCTCCATGCGTCGTCGGTTATGCACAGGCGGAAAGTCAACATTTTGTTTGGGTTGTCTTAACCACGGCAATGGGTTTCCACGTTTGTCAGACACCTGGCTGACCCAAAAAAGTCAAACAATAATTGAATCTATTTCTGGAATGAAATCAGCCACCTGCCAGTGACAGTCTCCCTCTGAACGCTCGATACACGTTTAAGAAGTCAATACCGTCCAAATCAGAATGAGGTACTCAACCATTCACACCATGCAAGTATGGTGTCATTTTTTTAAATCCAAACGCAACTGAGAATCATCCTACGCACTACACATGGAAATTCCAGAGATAAATTGTTGGGATGGAATACGCACTCTCTCCCTGAAGGGACGCATCCTGCTTTGAGCAAGTAAATAATATGAAATAATATGAAGTAAATCCAGCAGTAGAATTAACAGAAACTAAATCACATTAACTCAAGTTGCACAAATAGAATGAGCACAGATTGAAATTTAATACTTAATGGGATGCAACGATTTCTTTACTATTCCAAGCGGTAAGAATATTGCAGAGGGTGGACAAAAGCTTTGAATAAAGCCAGTTCTGAACAAACACACGTGCATTTGATACAATGCTTTCTCACAATGAAATACTGACAAAAATTTCACACAATAATCTAAGAAATGCAGTGCCTGTAAACAACTAGATCTGCGTCACCAAAATGCATAAATATAACCTTCCTGTGTCCCATTTTTGGACGACAATGAGTGGATGGAAGAATGTTACAGGCTGGTTTCAGGGCAGATAAGGCACGCAGCTAGCTTGTTCGCTGACTAAAACAGGGGAAGCAGAGTGTGGTGGAGTCGCAGAGATAGCGAAGTCCTCGGGCATGAAACTATTTATGAGCGAAATGAGGACGTTAATCCGTTGGGAGACTGCGGGTTGGGGAATGGGGCAACAGGCGTGCGGAGTTCGATGCAAGTAAGAACGCGAGTGAAGTTTTGCATCACCTGGAGCTTAAGGACGCTGAACTAGAAAGGCGAAAGTGGACTGCATTTGAGAAGTTGAGTCAAGAGGTAAGTAACGCACGAATGAGATTTTTCGCAGCATTTTGTGTCAGACTGACACTGAGGTGGGCAATTTTTTTTGGGGGGTGCGGGGGTGGGAGGGGGTGAAACATTAGAGCTCCGAGCTGCCCTTGTTCACTGTTCGGCCATAATTATGGCTCAGAACATCTGAACAATGATTTCGAAATAATTTCTTGAGAAATAATTTCCTCCAATTGCGCTTACCTCCCGAGGAGGAGGAGGAGGAGGAGGAGGAGGAGGAGGAGGCATCGCTGATACGTCGAATCTTACAAGTTCAGAAAACAAAATGCACACGATCTGAAATTAATTAGGGACTGCAGGAGATTCATATGACCAGAGATTGTAGATTTGTGCGGTACTGTGTATAATTTAATGAATGGCGTCTATTCTTTCCTTTTCTGTCCTCCCCCCCCCCCATCCCCGATAATTGACCTATTAAGGGGAAATGCCTGACGTGTGCAGTTTCATTTTCTAGACTAAGGGGGCTCTGACCGGGCGGTGGAGGGGGAGTGAGGAGGTCGGAGAGGGAGAGAGGTAGGGAGGAAGGCGCCAGGATTGGATTCGAACACGAGAGCGAGAGGATCTTGAAGTCGATCCGTTTTGGTGATGGGGCGGGCGGGCGGAGCGGGGAGGGGGGGGGCGCAGCCAGTAGAGGCCTGGCCAGAAGGCTGCCGCGTTTTGCCCGCGGACCACCCGGTCGATTCACTTCACGGGTCTATCCCACGGAGGGCTTTGCGAAGTCGCCTCGTGGCCGCGATAAGGCGCTGTATCAAATTCAAGGATTATCAATTAATTCATTTAAATGTTTTTAATAAAGGCGGGGGGGAAGAGTGGGGGGGGGAATCGTTACCCCCACCACCACCACCGCCACCACTCCGGAAAAGCGATCCGCCAATCGACTAACAACCAGGTAAGGAAACTCGCCTGAGGTTTCGCCCCGACCCAGACCCCGACCGGGAAGGGCATCGAACCCGGGTCCTCTCGGGCTCCAACCGCTGAGCTACGGGGCTCCCCGATGCCCCACCGCTCGCCTGTCTGAGATTCTTCTCGCTTCTCCCATCACACGCGCGCGCGCACGCACACACACACGCACGCGCTCACCCCACTCACTCGCACGCTCGATCTCGCACGGGCGCTCGCTCGCTCGCTCTCACTCACTCTCTCGCTCGCAGACTCTCTCACACGCTCTCTCACACTCACTCACTCACTCACTCACACGCTCTCTCTCTCTCTCTCTCACACTCACTCACTCACTCACACGCTCTCTCTCTCTCTCACACTCACTCGCTCGCTCGCTCACTCTCGCACGCCCGCTCGCTCACGCACTCTCACACACACCCACTCGCACTCTCTCGCTCACTCTCTCACGGACTCACACTCACACACACCCGCTCGCTCACACTCACACACACGCTCTCACTCTCTCACACACACACACACTCACTCACACTCTCACATACTCACTACTCATTCTCACTACTCACACACTCACTACTCACACACTCACTCACACACTCTCTCACACTCACACGCGCTCACTCTCTCACACGCTCTCTCTCTCACACTCACTCAGTCTCACACGCGCACGCACACTCTCACACTCACTCTCTCACACGCTCACTCTCACACACGCGCTCACTCTCACACACGCGCTCACTCTCTCACACGCGCTCACTCTCTCACACACTCACTCTCTCACACACTCACTCTCTCACACACTCACTCTCTCACACACACTCTCTCTCACACACACTCTCACTCACACTCACTCTCTCACACGCTCACTCTCACACACGCGCTCACTCTCACACACGCGCACACTCTCTCACTCACACACTCTCTCACTCACACACACTCTCACACTCACACTCACTCTCTCACACACTCACTCACTCAGTCTCACACGCACTCACACTCTCTCTCTCACTCACTCACACGCTCTCTCTCTCTCACACTCACTCAGTCTCACTCACTCCCTCACCCTCTCACACAAACTCCGCCGAACTAACGCTGCTCCCCGGGAGCGGAGCCCCCCCTCCCGGTGTGTGGGGGGGAGGGGGAGGGCCTACCTTGCCGGGCGACGAATGAGGAAATGTACCGTAAAAACATCGAGGAGGCGCCGCCGCCGCCGTCTCCCTCCTAACCGCCGCGGCTCGCGCTCGCCATAGCGCTCTCCCCTCCCCCCCACCTCCCGCCCGCCGGAGGGGGGGTGGGGCCTCGCGGCGCCGGACGTGACGAATCGCCGGCAGCAGCACGTGGGACACCGCCCCGCCCACTCACTCACTCACTCACGCACGCACGCCTGACTGACAACGCTCGTCATTTCCGGTCAGCGGGTGGTTTGCCCCGCCCCCCGCGGCCGGCCAGGTTGGGCGGGTTCCCGCGGCCAACTTGGGCGGGTTCCCGCGCCCAATTGGGCGGGTTTTCTTCTCTCTCAGTGGATTGAGTGAGCGACCAGATTATTATTATTATTATTATGGTGTCGTGGCTATAATAATAATAATCGTCAAACCCCTTCGTTGAGACGTCCTCCCGCCGTGAAAGGCCGTTTGGTCGTCTCGTCGTAAAGGGGATAATAATAATAATAATAATAATAATAATAAAACAATAATAAATTGGTCATTTTCAATCTACGACTGTTTGTGGGACATTGCTGTGCGCAATTGGCTGCCGCGTTCGCCCACAAATATACAGTCAATTCACTTTACAGTGTGTTCTGTGAAGCGCTTTGGGACGTCCTCCCGACGTGAAAAGCGCTATATCAAATGCAAGGATTATTATTATTATTATTATTAAACCTTGCATTTGATATAGCGCTTTTCACGTCGGGAGGACGTCCCGAAGCGCTTCACAGAACACATTGTAAAGACTGTATATTATGGAGAAAGGGCGTTGGAAGGTGCGAGAGACCTGAGTTCAATTCCAGGCAGAGGGCCAAACCTTGGGCAAGTTTCCTTACCCCACACAGAGCCTAATAATAATCCCTCCAAAACCAAAAACAATAATAAATTGGTCACTTTCAATCCACGACTGTTTGTGGGACATTGCTGTGCGCAATTGGCCGCCGCGTTCGCCCACAAATATACAGTCAATTCACTTTACAGTGTGTTCTGTGAAGCGCTTTGGGACGTCCTCCCGACGTGAAAAGCGCTATATCAAATGCAAGGATTATTATTATTATTATAATGAGATAGCCGATGTTTGGCGTAGGCAAAGCATCATTGCGAGACAGAAAAAGCCCGTGTTATTCATGTTTTTTTTCAGCCAGTGAAGACAAATATCAAATCAGAAGTGAAGTAGTGTTATAATAAAAGTGACCCTGGCAAACCCAAGTGTGTTTTTAAAATACGCGCAGTGTCAATAATATGAAAAATATGACTCCATAATACGTACAACGTTAAAATAAAAGTCGTGACAATCGATACAAATTTGCTTTAAAATACACTCCCGACCATGAACCTTATTCTTGCTGGAGAATTCTACATTTACATGTGGTTTCTCAAGCTGGGGTTGACCGAGTACGGGAAAGAACGTCAGGCTCTCCTAGGGCTTAAGAGAAATCATTGCCTTTTCCAAAATGTCCTTTTGAATCTTTGGGTAATTTGGATAATTTCTCAGCACCTGGAAAAACAGAAAATTTAAAGCAAACCAGGATCATAGCAACGTATAATCTGTCTAATAATTCTTGCATTTGTTAACAGCGTCTCTTCACGTCGCTGAGACGTCTCGAAGCGCTTCACAGAATAAACTGAAAGTGAATTGGCTGGATTTTGTGGGCAAAACCTGGCAGCCAATTGTGGATTGCGTTATTAATGCAATGGAATACAATTTTCACTTTTATTGCGCTGTTACTGTCGGAGGTCGTCTCAAAGCACTTCCCAGAATATACCGCAGAGCGTAGTGGCTGTGCAGTTGAAGGCAAATGGATGGCCACCACCTTTCCTTGCAAACACGGTCACCGCACTTAACAATTCCATGTGGATTATTATACAACAACAACAAAATGACATTATTATAGTGCCTTTCGCGTCGGGGGGACGTCCCAAGGCGCTGGACAGACAGAGTTACAGACCCGAGCTGAGGGTGGACATCGGGGGGGGGGGGGGGGGGGGGGAAGCGAGGAGATCGAAGACACGGTTGAAGAGGAGGGTCTTGAAGGAGGTAAGGAAGGGGGCGAGGCGGTGGGGCTGTGGGATGGAGTTCCAAAGTGGGGATGGGGGGAGCAGAAAGGCTGAAGACCCAACCAACAACGGCGGGGCGGGCCGGCTGGGGCTCGTGGAGCAGGCCGGAGCCCACTGAGAGGAGGGTGCGGACAGGTTGATATGGAGTTAGCAGGTCACAGAGGTAGGGAGGAGCAAGGCCGTGGAGGGGCTTCGGAGGCGTGGACGAGACACCGTGTAAGCTGCCGTTTCACCAGCAAGCCCCCGTCCCAACCCCACAGGTTCATTCTTTTGGCAAAGAGATTTTGCACAAACGTAAGTCGCAGCGTTGCAGTGGTTTTTCGAATAAAGTTTTAAGCCTTTTCATACAATATACGCACCTTGTGACAAATGTCTATTGCTTGCACGTACATCTTTGCTTTCAAGTAATTGAAGGCGAGTTTGTAGCCTGTGCAGAAACGGAGAGGAAACATTAACAACAACAAAATTACCTTTGTATAGCGTCTTTCACGTCGGGAAGACGTTCCCAGGCGCTGGACAGGCAGAGTTACGGACCCGAGCTGGGGATCGGGATGGGGGACGGTGGAGGGTAGTGGGGGGAAAAACAGGGAGATCGAAAGCACGGTCGAAGAGGAAGGTCTTGAGTTGGGTCTTGAGGGAGGGGGCGAGGCAGAGGGACTGCAGGATGGAGTACCAAAGGGTTGGTGCAGAGTGGCATAAGGGGCCCTCCCGCCGATAGTGGGGCGAGCGAGGCGGGTGTGCGTGAAGCAGGCTGGAGCCCACTGAGCGGAGGGAGCGAACAGGTTGGTAGGGGATTCGGAGGTCAGAGAGAGATAGGGGGGGGGAGCAAGACCGTGGAGGGCTTTGAAGGAGGGGGGAGAGGGGGCAAGGCGGAGGGATTGAGGGAGAGTGTTCCAGAGTTTTGGGGCGTGGCGGCTGAAAGCGCAACCTCCGATGGTGGGGCGGAGGGTGCGAGGGACGAACAGGAGGCCGGTGCCAGTCGAGCGGAGGCGCTGACCGGGTGGTGGATTGGGGGGGAAGGTGAGGGAGGTCGGAGAGGGGCCAGGGAGCGAAGGGATTTGAACACGAAAGCGAGAGGATCTTGAAGTTCCCAGAAGAGCGGGTTTTCCGCTGTTAACAACAACGGAGAAATAGTGGAGTTAGCTCACCCATGGTGGGGTTTGACTCACTGCTGTACTTCCAGGCCATTTCGTAATGGTTTACTGCATCCATGTAGGACTGCTCCTTTTCCATGACGAACCCCAGGTATTCGTACGCCTTGCAACATGACTACGTTAAGAGAGAGAGAGAAAAAAAAAACCACAGGAAGACTCTAATAATAATTAATAATCCTTGTGTACTTTCTGGGCGAAACTCGGCAGGCTGAAGACCTCGTTGACAACACTTAGCGTCCGTCTTTCCCTTTGCCACCTTCCCCAGCTCCCTCCCCACACCCCCACCCCCAAAGCTCGGGTCCCAGCCCAGCAACTGGAAGGACTTTGAGACGTTATCCCCCCCACTCCCCCATTTCCCCTCCCCAACGAAAGGCTGTTTTGGCCACCAGCAGCTCACCTGATTGTACTGCAAGCAGCGTTTCAGCAAGTCCATCGCAAGGTCAAACTTCCCCGCTTTAATGTAGATATCAGAGAGCAGCAGCCAGCTCTTCTCAAACGCCTCTGCGTCCATGGAGTTCCAGTCTATCTTGGTTATTCGCTTCAATTGGTTCCTGGCCCGAGACACAAGCTTCAGCACCATACAGGCCTGAGCTATGGCCAGAAGTGCTGGCACGTGGTCCTTCTGAAAGGTTGGCAACAAGTCCCTCCGTCAATGGTTTGAGAAATATATGAACTCAATGCATTCTGATAACAATAATAATAACCTGTGCATTTATTTGATATTATCCCTTATCGCGTCTTTGAGACGTTTCTAAGCGCTTCACAGGATGTACTGCAATGTGAATTGACCGTATATTTGTGGGCGAAACACGGCAGCCAATTGCGCACAGCAGCGTCCCCCACAAACAGTCGCGGCTTCGTTTTTTTTCTTGAGGGATTATTATCAGGCATGTGTGTGTGTGTGTGTGTGTGGAGTAAGGAAATTTGACCAAAGTTTCGCCATGGCCAGGAATCGAACCCAGATCTCTCACTTGCGAGGTGAGCGCTCTCACCACTGAGCTATAGGACTCCTGGAAATATACTATAAAATGAATCGACTATGTATTTTGTGGGCGAAACTTATCCAAAGCACGGCCCCTCTCCCTTTTCCCCCTCATCCCCAGCCTGTCCACCGGACTGTACTGGAGGGTCAGCCTAGACGGTCATCAGCTCTAAGTCCCAATGTTAAGTGGAACCCACATCTTTCTGACTCAGATTGAGAGCACAGAGTAGGCTTAACTCCAGATGGTCCGATGGGAGCCCATGGACTACATCTGAACCTCTTCCCTCCCTCCATTTCATCTGACTCACCCTTCACCCTCCACAACCCCCTAAATGTTATTGTATAATGACCTATAATAATAATAATAATCCTCGCATCTGATACAGGGCCTCATCACGTCTTCGAGACGTCTCAAAGCGCTTCGCAGGACGCACTGTAAAGTGAATTGTTATGCTACGTTTCTGGGAGGGTTAGACTGCCCACCCACCCACTCCTCTCTGGCCTAACTCGTGGCTGACCTTAGTCGCAGCCATCTCCGTGAGCACGGTAAGAGCTCTCTCCACGTTGGATCGCTCATTGGTGGCTACGAGGCAGCTGTTTTGCAGTAATAAGCGCTGCTCCTGGCCTTGTTTCGTGCGAGGGTGATATTCCTTGAGGAGTTTCTCTGCCGTCCTGACTGCCAGCTGGTCAGTCTCTCTCCTCTCAGTGAAGTCGCAACTGTTCCCGTGAAACACAAAAGGATGTTGTCTTTTTTGTTGTTGTTGTTGTGGTTTTTTTTCCAATTAACCGGAAGAAGTTTTCAGCGAAATCATTTTAAAGTGTCCGAGATATGAAAGGAACTCATATTTACACAGCGCAGCGACACGGGGTCGTGCTAATTGGAATTGGCACCCGTTCTGAGTACGAAAGGCAATAGGAATAATACTCCTTGCATTTGTTACAGCGCCTTATCACGTCGTCGAGACTGCTCAAAGCGCTTCGCAGGATGCAGGAAAGAGAATTGACTGCATATTTTGTGGGTGAAATATACAGTCAATTCGCGCACACGCACGCACACGCACACACACACATTATACAGTCCATTCACACACCTCACATCTGAACTGCCTTCAGAAACGGGCACTTTCTCTTTGCCTCTAACTGTTAGTAACATATTTCGAGTTAAAATAATATTATTTGACATTATAAGCCGCTATGCTCGCTCGCTGGCGAGCAAAAGAGGTCACCCAATGTGACACAGTAAGGTCAGAACCGTGGTTTGGCCGGTAAATGGAATCTAATAATAAGAGCACTTCACTGCACCTGGTCTCCTCATCCAGGCTTTCAAACACGTTCCCTCCTATTATCTCATTGTCTGGGTTGAGGCAGATTTGGATCATGCTGTAAATGGCCTGGTGACCCCAGTCGCTGTCCTTCCGTGCTTTGTTGAAATGCTTCAGGGCATCGTTGGGCTGCCCTATGTGCCTGTCAGCAGATCACAATGACACTTACTGACCAGGAAAACGCACGACTGTAACTCACGTGAAACCTGTCAGTCACAGGTGGAGCATCAAACCACTGTTCAAACTACTCAAACCGCCATCAGTGAGCGAGCACTGAGCCATACTGCCTCCTCTCTCCAGAACTCCATCCCAGAGTAACCTCCGTCTTATCACCTCCCTTCAAAACCCGCCTAGTTTTTCAACAGGGCTTCTGGCTGTCTCCCCCAGACGCTCTCTGGTGTCCGTCAATTTCAGGGCAGACACCAGAGAGTATGTGTTTACCCAGAGGGTAATTAATGACTGGAGCAAGTTGTCAGGAATAGACGAGGCCAGGATACTGCGACTCAGTTAAAAAACACCTTCTCTACACCAAAGAAAATAGAGCCAACTTCTCCAGACTCTCCTCATAACTCGAGCCCCTCATTCCCAATATCAGGATGGGAAATTCTCTCGGACCAGACAGCAGCCAGCATTTTTATAGCGTCCTTCACGCATGCCTTGGAGTGATTGAGAGCGGCAGAACTTAAGGCTGAGCTCGGGAGATAATTGTAGGAACGGTCAAAGAGGAAGGTCTTCAGGTGCGATCTGAAGACATGTTCCAGTCGTGGATTGAGTGACTAAATCATTTTTTTTTTTGAAAGGGATTATTACGCCTGGAAAAGCGATCCACCCATTGACTAACAACCGGGTTCCTACTTACTACTAAGTAGCCGTGTGAAGTCAGGAAACTTGCTCAAAGTTTTGTCCTACTCCGAAATCGAACCGAGGTCCTCTCGTTTGCGAGGCGAGCGCTCTAACCACTGAGCTACAGGACTTCACTTGGTATTATACCAAGGGGGTGGGAGGAGGGGATGAATGGTGAGTCGACAGGGTAGGTTTTGCCAGCGTAACACGCCAGTCTTTACCCCTATGATGTGGAGAACAGCTTTGGAATGGAACCCAACTTCTGACAACCGAAAACCTTCAATGCTTGAATTCCTACAACAAAGCCTGGATAGTTTCCTAATCTGCCCTGAGAAATCGATCCACTCCGCCAGCATTTCAATATGCATCGAGGCAGAAAGAAAATGTCAACTGTGTTTTCGCTGTCGGCCAAAAAGCCCTAAAGGGGGCACTGTTCTATTGCTGTAGTTTGTCAGAAAATCCACCTCATCTTCGCCTCCAAGCGAATCAAGGTTTACAATTCAAGGTTGCACAGAATCGTGGAAAACTATTAATTTAGCAGCCGATTCACTGAGGAACTACAGAAAAAACGGCTTCTAAATCCAGGCTGAATCTACGTATTTTCAACAATTCTACTGCAATCTGATGTCAAAAATAATAAGAAGGACTTATCCTTACATTTTGGTGCAGCCCTTTATCAAGTTGTCGAGACGTTCCTCACAGGATATACTGTCAAGTGGTGGGACTGTGTGTTTTGTGGTCCTTTATACCTGTGCACCTTTAGCTCAAATGTTTTGGCCCTATCTTGGAGGGTGCTCGGACAACAACTACAACAAATTACGTTTGTGTTGTACCTTTCATGTTGGGAGGATATCCCAGGGCGCTTGACAGTCAGGGATTTGGACCAGAGCGGAGAGTTGCGATCAGGAGGGCTGGAGGGCAGGGAGGGTGGGCGTACTCAGGCGACCAAAGGTGCCGTCGAAGAGGAAGATGTGCCTTGAACGAGGTACGGGAGTGAGCGAGGTGAAGGGATTGTGGAACGGAGGCAGGGAGGCTGAAGGTGGGTTGGGCCGAGCGGGGGATGTGGAGCAGGCCGGAACCTGCTGAGTGGAGGGAGTGGACAGGTTGATATGGGGTTAGCAGGTCATAGAGGTAGGAAGGAGCGAGGGTGAGGTCTTCGAGGGTGAGGACGAGGATTTTGATCTCTATCCTCTGGGGGATGGGGAGCCGGTAGAGCCGGGCGAGGTTGGGGGTGCATTATCTCAATCTTTAGGTGTATTCTTTTAGTTTGTTTCATTTACCAGAGGTAGAGGCCTTTGCAGTAGTTGAACCCCGGTTCCAGAGCAGTCCGGGTTGACTTCTTCTCTGCTAGCTCCAAGAATTCTGGAGCTTTGTCGAGTTTCCCAGCTTTCCTGAACAGCTCGATGAGTTTGCACAAGACCGCAAAGTTGTCTGTCGAAAGAAGAAACTTTTCTTTCAAAGAATTACAATTTCGGGTTACTCGTCTGTTCCTCAGAAAATAATAATAATAATAATAATCCTTGCATTTGATACAGCGCCTCATCACATTGTTGAGATGCTTCAAAGCGCTTCACAGGATATAATAATAATAATAATAATCCTCGCATTTGATATAGCGCTTTTCACGTCGGGAGGACGTCCCAAAGCGCTTCACAGAACACACTGTAAAGTGAATTGACTGTATATTTGTGGGCGAACGCGGCAGCCAATTGCGCACAGCAGCGTTCCAAACAGTAGTGGGGTTGCGTGACCAAATTATTATTATACTATTTATTTTTTGAAGTCATTATTGCCTCTGGAAAGCGATCTGCCAATCGACTAACAACTGGGTTCCTACTCAATGCTACGACTGTTACACAGACATCAACAAGATACCTGGCGATCGCTCCAACATCTGTCGGTAATAAAATATAGCCTGTTGGTATTCTTGTTTTCTAAACATGAGGTCTGCCATCATCTGTAAACAGAAAGAATGTGCAAATTTCCTCCTCGCTCTCCCTTCCCTCACCGAATGTTACCAGGCCTAAAATGGCCTAAAATGGTTGAGCTACAAGGAAAGGCGGCGTAAACTTGGATTGTATTCCCTTGAGTTTAGAAGATTGAGGGTGATTTGATTGAGGTACTTAAGATGATAAAGGGATTTGATAGGGTTGATACAGAGAGGCTATTGCCTCTGGTGGGGGAATCCAAAACAAGGGGACATAGTCTTAAAATTAGAACCAGGCCATTTAAGAGTGAAATCAGGAAGCATTTTTTTTTTACTCAAAGTGGGGGTAGAAATCTGGAATTCTCTGCCCCAAAAGGCCGTGGATGCTGGATCCATCCACACCTTCAAGAGGGAAGTTGATAGATTTTTGGTAGGTCAGGGTATCAAGGGATATAGGGAGAAAACGGGAAATTGGAATTGAAAGGATTAGTTGAGGTACAGATCAGCCATGATCTAATTAACTGGCGGAATAGGCTCTAAGGGCTGAATGGGAAGGATCTGGGAGTTGAGTCGCAGCTGGAGTCTAACCAGCCCAAACCACAAAGCTTGAGAGCAGGTTTGACACTTCACTATAAAAGAGTAGTGACTGTCTTTTGTGTGCAAACATAGCGGCCAATTTGCTCACACCAACGTCCCACCAACGGCCTTGAAGCGAATGACCAATTTTGGGGGGGGATTATGGTTAGGCCACTGGGGAGAAACCCCCTTCTCAGTGATAGCCACGTTGGCAGACGAGGACAACGAAAGGTGTGTAAGTGCACCCACCATGTTTGCATCGTAGTTATTCTCAACGTTCTTCAGCAGTGCGACACACTGCTGCTCACACTCATCATTGTCTCCCTTGGTCAGGTACAGGCGCGATAGCTCAAGCATCAGCTGGGAACAGGAACATGCCCCATATTAATAACAATAATCCTTGCATTTGTTACAGCGCCTTATCACGCCGTCGAGACGCCTCAAAGCGCTTCACACAGAATACACTGTAAAGTGGATTGACCGTGTATTTTGTGGGCGAAACCCGGCAGCCAATTGCACACAGCAGCGTCCCCACAAACAGTGACCAAATCTTTTTTGAGCGACCACATTTTTGGTGGGGGGGGGGGGAGAAAGAGGGATTATTACCCCCAGGGAGATGATCCACTAATCAACTAACAGCTAGGTAAAGCGAGGCGGTGGGAGTAGGAAACTTGTCCCGCCTGGGAAATGAACCCGGGTCCTGACCGCGAAGCTACAGGACTCACTGTGTTAAACTCTGCTCCTCTCTGGCTGGATTGCAGGTTTATTTTCTAGACGATCGTTCCTACTTACCGTCGAGTCATTTTCTGCGTAAGTCAAGCCTTCCTTGTAATATCGGATGGCTTTGTCAAAGTCTCGCTGGTCCACGGAGATCTGGGCCAGTTGACTGCAGATGGAGACTGCCAGCTGCTTCTGGATTGGGATGATGTCTGGTTGCTCCAGGGGGAGGCGTTTCAGGATTCGCCCTTGCAACTCGTGGGCCTTCAAGAGTCCAAAATGATGAGGAATGACCCTTGGGTTCAACATTGCAACTTAATACTGTAATAATATTATCCTTACGTCCGATACGGTGCCTTTTACGTCAGGAGAACATAATGATAACAACAATAATAATCCTTGCATTTGGTATCAAGTCGTTGAGACGTCTTAAAGCGCTTCATTGTAAAGTGAATTGAATTATTTTGTGGGCGAAACGCGGCGGCTAATTGCGCACAGGAGTATCCCACAAACAGCCGTGGATTGAGTGACCACGTTTAGTGATCTGCCGATCAACTAACAACAGGGTTCCTACTTACTTCCAGGTAAACAGAGGTGTTTGGAGTAAGGAAATTTGCCTAAAAGTTTCGCCCTGCCCAGGAATCGAACCCGGATCCTCTCGCTTGAGAGGCGAGTGCTCCTCCCACTGAGCTACAGGATTCCACAAGTGTATCACTTAATGGTAACCGCCCAAGTTTCCATCCACCCCCACGTCAGCCCCTCACCTTGTTCAATATATCCATTGCCTCCTGCATTTCATTAGTTTTGTTGCAGACTTTGGCCAAGAGCATCAGATATTTGACATCTCTCATCAGCGAAGTTATATCGTTTACTGCAATACGAAAACATCGAATAATTTTTGGGGGGTTGTGTCTGACATATGAGGAAACCCGTCACCGTCGCTTAAGAGCCTCCAAACCAAACTGAGAATTCCCGGCCTCCCACCTCCGCATAGAAATCCCAGAGATAGATTGTTGGAATGGAATGGGCTCTCTCTCTCTCTCTCTCTCTCTCTCTCACCCTGGAGAGTATTAGGAGGCGCAAGTTGGCAAGGCTTGGGGAACCCCAGAGGAGGAGCTGAGTGGGAGGATTCCCTGCTTCCCATGACTGGTCTGCTCTTTCAAATCCTGCCGACGAGGCAGGCTGGCAGTGCTTTGTCGGCAGCGCCATGGAATACCGCAGACCCGCCCGGCTTAGGAATCAGACTACCGAGACCACCACAGAGGGCTGGCTCGGTTCCGACGTTCCGTTGCCAAACAGGTCACCTTAGAGCCAGTTCAGCTCCAAGGAGACCCCACTTACCGGGGCGATGGACATGCAGAGTTTGGTAAGGATGTGGGCAAGACAGTTCTACAGCATTGAGGGGTTAGGAAAGGAATCAACTTACTCGCTCCGTGCTCCAGAGTCTTTCTGAGGACCTTCTGGGCTCTGTCATATAGACCGAGTCTCAGCAGGAGCTCAGCCAAGTCGTAACACAAGAATTCCTGGCCACCAATTTTCAGTGCCGCTTCATAGTAATGAACAGCCTGAAATCCCCCGAAAGGCAAGCAGTCAGGCAACAAACAAACACCTCAAACAACAACGCTGCATTCATACAGCGCACTTTCACGTAGGACGACTTTTCAGAGGGCTTCACGATGGCACAGTTGGACGCCGAGCAAGAGAGAAGGGGAAGGTGACGTGACCATACGAGCAAGTAGTAGAGGCCAGTTATTAGGCGGGTCTTAAATAGAGAGATAAAGAGGGGCAATAAGGGAGAGAGGGAGGGAGTTCCTTCCACAGGTTAGGGTGTAGTAACAGAAGGCGCAGAAGCCAAGGCGTGTGTGTCCCTAAAGTTGGTGGAAACTGCTGAAGTTTAATCTGGTAAAACAACATCAACATAGCTCGCCATTGAGAGTCAGGCAAGCTTCCCGCTGCTAGGACCACCCCCTACCCATTAGGGCTTTGGCTTGCAGGGTTAATAGGAACTGATTGTGAACTGGTCCCAGTGACTAGAACCCTTCAGGGCCTCCCAATGATCGAGTCTGTCTGTCATTGGACTTGGATTACCAAAACTAATCATGGAAAAAGAGGAGCTGGCTAGCCCAACTGGGATCCAGTTTAGGTTTGATGGGCCAAAGGGCCTTCTCCTATCCACGTAATAGCTATGATTCTACCTTGGTGTAGTGGTGAGTCTTGACTAAAGCCTGACCGATTTTCTTCACCAAGTGTCCGTCGTGAGGGTTTTTCTTTAAGACGTGTTCGTATATCTCAATGGCTTTTTCGGGCTTGAATAAATAGAAGGACACAAAGGCAGTCAGTGCGATTAACGTTACAGGCCCCATAATCCAGCGACACTTACAGATAGGATGTCACAGGAGTCTAACTTGTGATATTTCCCAACAGAATCCCTGCGTCTCGGAGTGCTGAGTATCCGAGGACGGGATCATCTCAATTTCCGTCACTCCAATCCTTTAATAAGGAATCCTCACCAGGAGAACAACAACAACAAATTACCTTTGTATTGCAACTTTCATGCCAGGAGGACTTCCCAAGGTGCTGGTCAGTCAGGGATTTGGACCCGAGCTGGGGGTTGGGATCAGGAGAGGTTGAAGGTGGGGAGAGTGGGGGGGTAGGAGGGTGACGATGAAAGAGGAGGGTTTTGAGATGGGCCTTGAAGGAGGGAAGGGTGGGGGGGGGAGCAAGGGGAAGGGACTGCGGGACGGAGTTCCAAAGAGTGGGCATCTCACCGCGCTTCACAAGATTTTACTGTAAAGTGTAGGGACTGTGCATTTCGTAGGTAAATGCGGCAGACAATTTGGACACTGCAATGCCCCACAAACAGTCCTGCTTTCTCCCCACTCCACTGCCTACTCTCTCTCCCCGGGCTCTGGCCGCCTGCTCGTCTCTTGTCCCCTCCGCTCGATTGTTAGTGGCGGCTGCGCTTTCAGCCACTAGACCCCAAAGCATTGGCACTCTCTGCCTCAATCCCTCCGCCTTGCTCCCTCCTTCCCCTCATTTAGATCACAACTGAAGAGTTTTGTCTTCGACCGTGCTTATGCTACCTCCTCCTCCCTCCCTCCCTCCCTCCCTCCCCGAGGTTCTGGCACTGTTAAGCACCCCAAGACACTGCCCCGGGTGAAGGACACTGTAAAAACAAGTTGTTGTTGTTGACTAACCTCCTGGATGCTTATATACGCGTCACCAAGAAGAAGACTGGTGTGAGGACTTGGCAGCTGGTCGCACAGGTCTCTACAAGACGATAAAATATAACAAATGTTCTTTATAGCACTCAAATTGGCCTTGAACCACTTTTCTAAACACCTGGCGTAATAATAATCCTTGCCTTGTCACACGTCTGAAAGCCCTTCACAGATTACACTGTGTCATTGAGTGTAGTGACCGTTTACTTTGTGGGCCCAATGCAGCAGCCATTTGCAGATAGCAGTGTCGGGCAAACAGTCCTGGATTGAATGACCAAATTATTATTCTTTTTTTTTAAAAAAAAGGGATTATTACGCCCCGCAAAGTGATCCACCAATCGACTGACAACCCGGGTCCTACTTACTACCTGATGAACACCCCAAGGGAAATGCCTTCCTCCTCTGTAGTAAACACCTACTTGTAGCACCCAATGTACAACCGCTTGTCCCTCTGTTTCTGGAGGTAAATCTGTGCCATTTTCTCCTTGGCCTCGGTGTAGTAGGGCTGGTCGGGGTGGACGTTTCGGAGCATGGTGAAGGCCGTCTCCAGGTCATCCCTGCTCAGAGCCAAGTCCACGTTGGCGATGGTGATCCGGATTTCCTCCGCCGTTCCCGCAAACTCGTGGATGGCGTCTTGCATGACTTTTGCGGCTTCGTGCTGCAAACGAGAATATTCCCACGGGTGGGGGGAAACTCCGGTCAGTCTTACTTAAGCCTGAGTTCGACGGCAACTACTGCTTGCGTTTATATAGCGCCCTTCACGTGCGTCAGCATCTCGGAGCGCTCAACAGTGACGGATGGAGCCTGACGCTGAGCCAGCGGGAGGGAGGGAGGAGGCGACTGGAAGAGGAAGGTCTTCAGGCGTGATCAAAAAGAGGGGACAAGGCAACGTGGAAGGATTGAGAGGGTGGGGGGAAGAGTTCCAAAGCTTTGAGGCATATAATGGGAGAAAGGGCGGCTGCCGATGGATGAGCAGAGGGGACAACAACGACAGCTTGCATTTATGTAGCGCCCTAAATGCACGGATGACGCCTGACACCCCATCGCTGGAACCCCGTCGCTCTGGTTAAGCGGATCCAAACCTGACTGAAGGTTCTGTATGTCACCTACACATGGAAACATTATGCATATCACCTACACATGGAAATTTCCCCGGGTCCGGAACGGAAACTCACTCTCCTCAGAGGGACACCCGTTGCTTACATAATTCCGAAGAGCATTAGGAGGAGATTGGCAAGAGCCCAGGCTTGGGTGACCCCAAAGTATGCATTCGGGGTACATCTGAAACACCACGCTCTGTGAGCAGCAACGAGGGCAGCGATTAACCACTGAGCCAAGTTCACTGCTCGACGTGTTTGTCAGACTTTGGGAAACAGATGCTTCAGGTCTCGTCACCTGCTGTCCGTTGGCGTGATGGGCGTTTGCCAGTTCCAGGTAGACAGAGACCCGGTCGTTCGTACTGATGTTGAAGGCGTCGCCCTTGGTCTTTCCAGCCGTGCTGCGTCGCACTCCGGGCAGGTTCATCGCTATTTTCAGGGTTGTGATGGTGTCCACAACATTGCCCATTTTATTCAAAGCTCTGGCTTTTATCAGGTGATAGATAGGATGCTCTCTGACCTAAAGGGGAATAGAAAGGACTTCCTCATCGCCACAGGTACGAGGCTGGTTCGGTTAGTAACATTCTCACCAGTGTCCGTGCGAGGGAATCTGAGTCGGTGTACCCCTGGGCCAGTGTGTGCTGTCAAGCGCTCTGGGAATGCTACCCTGCGTGAGAGACGCTATACACATGCAAGTTGTTGTGTGTTGTGCTGTCTTTGTGTGGATCTGTGCATGTGTGTGGTGTGTGCACGCATAATATGTGTGTGCACATGTGTACAAGCGTGCGTGTTTTACACGCCACTCCCCTACCGATCCTCTTGATGTGTGTCCGTGCGTGTGTCTGTGTATGTACAAATGTGTGCTTATGTGTCCGTCTGCGTCAAGTGACGTATGTGCGAGTGTGTGTGGGTCTATGTGTGGGTGTGTCTGTGGATTTGCGTCTGAGTGAGGTTTGGGGAAAGAGTACACCAGAACAAGAGAGAGACGCTGTCTCACTGCTACAGATTTTACACGGTTGACTGAGTGTAAAATTAGACTCAGTATAAATGTCTCTCTCGCCAATTACTCTTTGCAGTGTTCAGATGCACTGAACACGACATCGGAATCCCTATGGGACGGAGAGTCAGGCCAAAGAAAAACTGATGGTGGTGGGGGGGGGGTTATAAAACCCAGAGAAAGATTCTCACCTGGAAGTTGTAGCTCAGTCCCATTTCCAGGGAATGGGAAGACTCCTTGAAGTTGCCCTGGGACAGGTAAATCTGAGCCATGAGCAAGTGGCCATCAGAGAAACTGGGGTCCAGCAGGAGACATTGCTGGAGCATACCGTGCGCTGTTTCGAACTTCCCTGTGAAGAATGAAGAAATGGTCAGGTAAAGTACACGTCACGAGAGAGCTACAGCCATTTTCTTTTTGCACACGGGTGCGGAAACCCATCGCCGTTGCTTAAGAGTCTCCAAACCCATCTGAGAATTCCCCGCCTCCCACCACCTACACACGGAAATCCCAGAGATAGATTGCTGGAATGGAATGCGCTCTCTCTCTCTCTCTCTCTCTCTGGAGGGACGCCCCCTGCGTACCTAATTCCAGAGAGTATTCGGCGCAGGTTGATGAGAGCCAAGGCTTGGGGGTGGAGCCCAGAGTGTGCGTTGGAGTCTAACCAGTTAAAAACGCATAGCTTGCCATGGAAATCGCTGTCTGGCCAAGCTTTCCTGCTGCTTGTCCAGCTAGGACCACCCTATCCGCTACTTAGGGCTTTGGCTTATAGGGTTAATAGGAGCCGAGAGGGAGGATTCCCTGCCCCCAGTGACTGATGTGCCCTTCCCGTTCTACCGATGGGCCAGGCTGAGCTGCCATCAGCAGTGAGTGCCCTGGAACACTGCAGACCGGCCTGGCTCAGGAACTGGTCTACCAAGAGTACCACAGAGATGCTCATTGTATCTCATCCTTCCCAAATACCCTCTCATCCATCCATCCATCCATCCATCATCGCAATCAAACTGTTTTTATAAATGAGCCTCTGCTCCTGGACTCAACCACCTTCTTTTAACCCTGATCCAGTTGTTAATTACCTTCAGGTTAATGAAGTACTTCCCCAATATTTAATTGGAGAGGAGGTATCATTACCCCTGGAGAGCGATCCGTCAATTGACCAACACCCGGGATCCCACTTACTGCTAGCTAAGTGATCTATCCACAGTTATAACATCACTAAAATCCTCTTACCTGAGAGGAATCTGACTTTGGCCATATAATAGAGAGCTTCCATCATCCCAGGGGCTGCTTTGACCACTGGGTCCAATATCATGGCACATTGTCGCAGAAGCAGTGATAAAGCCTGGCCTTGGGTAATGGGCTGGAAAGGGAAACAACGAGCGATCAAAACTGAACAATAATAATAATCCTTGCATTGGGCAGGGAGTGCACCTATCGCCCCGGAGAACATCCAACAGGGCACTTGGCAAAAGTTTACGTGAAGAGAATTTTTACCCAGAGAGTTGTTACTGGTCTGGAATGCACTGGCTGAAATGGTGGCGTGGAAGCAGATTCAAATCTGCCTACCTGATGTGGGCAGAAGGATAAAAGCTTCTTTACAATGTCAAGGAGGAATTCAGGGTTGAGTTTCTCATAGTACTCCACACCCAGAGGAAGGTTTTCCAAGGCCAGGAAGTGAATATCTGCGGCTTGCTTCAGCAACTTAGTGATCAGTTGTTGCCCTTGGCCTCTCTCTGCGGCTATAACAGCTTGAAGGTAAGCCAGCTCCTGGAACAGAAACATGGCAGTTGTTTCCAGCGGAATAAAAATAAATACTGCATCAATACTGCCTAGACTGTGACTTCAAAGTGCCAACATGGGGCTCATAATCCAGGCTGACTCTACAACATTATAATGTGTGGTTGATGGTGCCATCCTTCGAATCAGATGTTTAAACGATGAGACGTTAAACCGGGACTGTCAGGAAAAGGGAAGGAAGTTTCTCTCTCCCGGTGTCCTGGATGACAAGCCTCCAGATAAAATATATGGCCGTTTCATGGCCGTTTGTGGGCAATCTGCTGTGTGCAGATTAGCCATTGTGACTCCCTACATACAGAGTCACTACACTTTGCCGAAATCCATGTGAAGAGCTTTGAGGCATTTTAACAGGAAAAGGCACTAAATCAAATACACTACTAATATTATGTCTGATATAGTACCTTGCATGTCGGAGGGACATCTCAAAGCGCTTCACAAGATTCATTATAAAGTCTAATGACTATTCTCGGCAAATCATAAGCAAAGACCAAAAATTCCACCATCGTTTTAGCCTGTGAGAGCATTTAGTCTTCGAAATTTAATTTAAGAGGGCTTTGGCTTGACAGGAACTAAGTGGGAAGAATTCCAGCTCCGAGTGAGTGGACTCCTCACTCCTCCAAGTCCTACGGAGGAGCCAGGGAGCCCGGTGGATCATTAACCGTGGAGACCTGTAGCTCAGTGGTTAGAGCACTCGCCTCGCAGGCAAGAGGACGCAGGTTCGATTCCCGAGCAGGGCGAAACCTTAGGCAAGTTTCCTTACTCCACACACAATCCTCTGTTTGCCTGGCGGTAATATGAACCCGGTTGCTAATCAATGTGCTGGTGAGGCCAGGACATTCGACTCATTTTAAAAAAAAACAGCTCAATGGCGTGTTGGGATGGGTGTTGTGGAAGGGTGAGATCAGATGGGCTGAAGGGCCTGCTTCATCCGAACCAACCTCCAATGGAGGCAGCCCAACTCCAAAGAGATCCCGCTTAACCCACCCCAATTCCCAAACTGTTCCTCACCCCAGACATTCCAATGGATTCTTGCACTTCCCTCAAGAATTCCAACTGCTGCTCCGCATCTTGGATCTGCCCTTGTAGAATCTGAGCTCGAATTCTTCCTGGAGACAAACCCACCATTTTCATGTTAAAGAATCGCACCCTCGTCTCCTTGGAGGTTAACCAATTCTCTGTGAGCAGCGTGTAAAACGCAGACCCTGTAAAAACTCCACCATCTTCTTGGCCTTAGCCTTTTGTTCTCAACCTCCAAATGCAAGTAAAGCGAAGCTCTGCACCCCCATCACCCCATCATCTTAGACTTTGCCGGACTCCGCTGGCTCCCGGTCTCAGAACAGATCGATTTCAAGATCCTCACGTTCTCTTACAAATCACTTCATGCTCCCTAACTTGCAACGAAAAACTCTGCTCCCTACCCCTTCACTCAGCTGGCAAATTATAATGCCCTAATAATAATTTTTGCGTTTGATACGGTGCCTCGTCATGTCGTTGAGACGTCTCAAAGTGCTTCACTCGTGTTTCCGCAGATTTGTTCTAAAAATAGGCATTATTATTATATGCAAGAATCATTATTAAACGGAAGGATTATTGTTGCTATTAAATGCAAGGATAGTTATTATTAAATGCAAGGATTATTAATATTAAATGCAAGGATTATTATTGTTATTATTATGAAATGCAAGATCATTATTATTAAATGCAAGATCATTATTATTAAATGCAAGATCATTATTATTAAATGCGAGATCATTATTATTTGAGGCTTTGGTTAACAGTGGCTTTGGATTCCACAACCTGTCAGGGCGGGCATGTTGCTTTCATCCAGTTTCATGGCTGCCATGTACTGCTTGGCTGCCTGTCCCACCTTCCCCTGGAGGATCAGTTGAAAGCCCAACTCCGTCACCATCTCTGCGTCCCCTGGGTTCAAGTGGACAGCATGCTCGACCAAACTGTACGTCTGCTCCAGGATGGTGTTGTTCCGTGAACACTGTGAAACAGACAAGCGCAGCGAACAGGTCCGTAGAGCTAACAGCAGCGAAGGCACGCGCTGAATCCACGTCGGTGCCTGCTCCTTCAACTGGAGTTACTAATATAAAAAAAATGCTTGCGTTTGGTACATCAGGAGGACATCTCAAAGCAATTCATACAATTCCAGGGGGGGGGGTTAATAATCCCTTCCAAAAAGAAATGATAATTAAATCATTTGGTCACTCAATCCACGACTATGTGTGGTATATATTATTGCTCTGTGCGCGATAATCTTATGACTTTACAGTATATTCTGTGAAGTGCTTTAAGATGTCTCATTGACGTGACAAGGCGCTCTGTTAAACGCAAAGGTTATTACCGTGGGCTTCTGACTAGAAGGAGGGAATGCTACCGACTGAGCCAGGCTTACATGGTTGAAATCTAGTTGAAGACATTAGTTTGCTTACCATTCTGCTTAACACAACAGCTACACGCTGGTAAAGCTTTGGATTTTCAGGTTCACTTTTCTCCAAGGCTCCAATTAGCTGTTTGATGAAATCCTCGGCCTGTGTTAATGAACAAACCCTGTAAATGGCCACGCGGTTGGGATAACCCGTCCCACACTGTTAAACAACAGCATCGCTCGTGGCACGACTTTGCACACGTTTGAGTTCGATGCTTCCTTCGGGTTCGATTCCCACCCGCCCCCCCCCCGCCATGGGAATGGACCACATCGATGAGAACAGATCTGTCAATGAGAGTGGATCTCAGTCATCAGAGTGGATCCCATCAATGAGAATGGGTCCCATCAATGAGAGAGGATCCACTTCAATGAGAATCTGACGGTAGATCCCGTGCAACGAGACCCACTAATGGGATGAAGATGTCAAGATGGCAAGACTTTATTGCCTAAAATCCACTGCCAGAAAAAAGCTTCCATCTTTTAAACAACAACAACAGCAAATTGCATTTATGTAGCACCTTTCTGGGTCGGTGGTTTGACAACAAAGACGTGTCAAGGGAAGGTTTTTTGAGGATGGTGGTGGTGTTGATGGCCGTTTTTAAGGGGGAGAGGACGGTGCCAGTAGACAGAGAGAAGTTCACAATGCCAGTTAGTAGTGGGGCAAGGAGATGGAGCTGGGAGGTAAGTAGAGGGGTAGGGACAGGTCAAGGTGGTGGGCTTAATTTGGGAAATGATGGAGGTGAGAGGGGTCAAAATTATGGAGGGAGGGATAGCATATGTACAGTGTATGCATATAGTGTGTGTATATGTGTATATATATACATATATAGTACACACACTCACACACAAACCATCAATTCTTAAACTCAGGGTTAATTTGAAAGCCATTTTCCGCACATTAATTTCAAGACGTCTTCCACATTGAGACGGAATTTGAGAAGTTTCATGATCTTAGGGTTCAAGACATAGGAACAGGAGGAGGCCTTTTCAGCCCTTCCAGCCGGTTCTGCCATTCCATCAGATCATGGCTCAGCTCCATTTACCCGCCTTCGTTCCATAATCCTTGATACCTTGGCCTAACAAAAACTTATCCACCTCAGTCTTGGATGGATCGAGTATACACAGGTTTGGGGTGGGGAGAGAGTTCCAGATTTCCCTAGTCTTTGTATGAAAAAGTGCCTCCTGATTTCACACCTAAATGGCCAAGCTCTGATGTTGACTATACCCTCTTGTTCTGGAATCCCCTCACCAGAGGAGATAGTTTATCTGTAGCTACCCTATCGACTCCCTTTATCGTTCTAAACACCTAAAATCAGATCAAACCTCAACCTTCTAAACTCAAGGGAATAAAGCCCAAGTTTATGCCACTGTCCTCATAGTTTAAGCCTTTAAGCCCTGGTATCATCTTGACATTGGTCTTGAAGGCTGAGACCATGAGGGATTTCGGACCTGTAGTTCAGAGCAGTTGACACGTCACCTTCTGGGAATAAACCGCCACAGTTACTAATTAGCAACGATGCTCGTAAGACCCACCTCTGTCTGGTTTCCTTCTTTACAAAGAGAGTGCAGACATAACATCTGCAGTGCATCCACATTGCTGCTGTCCTTTTGCAGAATTCTTGTTGCGTGAAGGGGAGGGAGGAATATCTGTTCAGTGTTTACTCTGAGCACTCTTTTTGGGGTTATTCAACAACAGCATATTTTATATCACACTTTTCACGTCGGAAGGATTTCTCAAAGCGCTCCCGCAAAACTGGCTGGGCACCTGAGCTGGAAAGAGGGGAGTGGGGAAGAGTGTCCTGTGGCGTAGTGGTTAGAGCCCTCGCCTCGCAAGCAAGAGGATCTGGGTTCGATTCCCGGGCAGGGAGAAACCTCTAGGTAAGTTTTCTTACTCCACACACACACACACACACATATGCCTCTGGTTACCCAGCGGTACATAGGAACCCGGTCGATTGGCTGATCGCTTTCCGGGAGTAATAATCCCTCAAAAATAATGCGGTCGTTCAATCCACGACTGTTTGTGGGACACTGGTCTGCGCAACTGGCGTTTCGCCCACAAACACACATTCAATCCTCTTTGCAATATATTCTGAGAAGCGCTTTGAGCAGCGCCCTACAAACAGTGGTGGATTGAACCCAACAAACATGGAGGTAGGGGTTAAATGTTATGGTCCCAAAACGTAACAAGGTCACCCTGTAGGGGCCGAGCCTTGCTCCTCTCACCGACCTCTGTGCTGTTTCCAGAGTTTGCTCCCAATTCTGCTGAGCGAGAAACAACCTCATCTTCATGATGAGCGCTGGGAGGAACTCAGGGAGGGTGACAATGATCTGGCTGACTATCTCCAGGGCGCTCGAATAATTCTGTTCCTTCTGGAAGTAGTGGATCTGCCGTTTGGAAACCAGAAGACACAAAGCTAAGCATCGACACGCGTCACAAATTGCCAGTGATAAGAAGACTGAGGTCCATCCAATTCGCCTTCCCCCATCCTGGCAGTAACATGCACATGTCATGTCCCAAACTGTATACCATATCCCGAGATATTATTTCTCTAATAGAAATCTAACGTAATCTGATCTTGAAAGAATCAACACTTTCTGCTTCCACCGACTGCACCACACGTTTGCTAACTCGCTCACTAAAGTAGTGTTTCTGAAGATTTGTTCTGAATTCTCACCCCCTGATGATGTCGAAGTGCGTGGCTCAAATCAGAATCAGAAAGAAGATTGTGGGTTCAAGCCCCACGTCGGGACTTTACATTCAGAGTCGGGGCTGGGCTGACACTCCAGGGCAGAGATACTAAACTCCAAGGCCTCCCAATGAATGTCTGTCATCGGCAGTTATTCTGTGGCTCTCAAATGGAGTTATAGAAAAAAACTGGCTTCGAAATCAAAGCTTCAAAACGTAAGAACTGTCTAAAATAATCTTGAAATTAATTTCTGCCCAAGGGATTGACGGCAAACGCTTGTTAAAAAATACAGAGAGAAATTGTAGTTTTGGTCACAATATTGCAACACACCACCCAACCTTTCCCATCAAACCAAGCAGGTTCTTTGAATCCTGTAGTCCTTCTTCCAGGTAAGTCATGGCTCTCTTCATGTTAGTCATCTTGACGGATGTAAGATCAATCCATCCTTTAAGTATCAATCCCTAATAGTAAACACCAGGTGAAACCGTTAATATAATAAACAGTAATCCTCACATTTCATACAGCGCCCTATCACGTCAGTGAGACGTCTCAAAGCGCTTCACAGAATATACTGTAAAGTGAATCGACTGTATACTTTGTGGGTGAAACCGTGGCAGTCAATTGCGCACCAGAGCGTCCCCGCAAACAGTCGTGGATTCAATGACCAAATTTTTTTTTAAAAGGGTTTATTACCCCCAGAAAAGCGATCCGCCAATCGACAAACAACCGTGTTCCTGCTTACTACTGGGTAAACAGAGGCGTGTGGAGTAAGGAAACTTGCCTAAGATTTCGCCCCCTGCCCGGGAATCAAGCCCGAGTCCTCTCACTTGACCTCTCCTCTAACCGCTATGCAATAGAATAGTAAGAGAGAAGTTCCATGCCTACCACCTACCCATAGAAATTCCTGTGTCTGGAGTGGAACACGCACTCTCTCGGAGCCTGCGTGCCTCATCCCAGAGAGTATTAGGCGTGAGTATTTGGAAAAACAAAGGGATTGAGGTAGAGTTTCCAGAGTTTGGGGACGCAGTGGCTGAAAGTGTGGCCACCGATGGTGGAACGGAAGACGCGAGGAACAAACAGGAGGCCGGAACCAATTGAATGGAGGCGATGGGGAGTGGATGAAGGGAGTGAGCAGGTCGGAGGGGTAGGGAGGTGCCAGGGCTTGAAAGGCTCTGAAGACTAGTGAGAGGATTTTTTAAATCGATCGAATCGACTATAGGGAACCAATGGAGTCTGACAAGAACTGGTATGATGGGGGTACAGAGTTTAGGGCGGGTGAGTATGTGGGTGGCGGAGTTCTGGATTGACTGGATTTTGCGGATAGTGGAGCTGGGGAGACCGGCGAGGAGGGCATTGGAATAGTGAGGCGGGAGGTGATGTGAAAGGAGTCTCTCCCAGTTTCCTGGTGATAGGCACCTTATCAAATGTCAGGATTGTTATTATTATTATTATTATTTATCCACTGAACCAACTGTGATGCTCGTCCTTTGACAGTTTATTGGGTTTACCGGAAGGAAAGGCGATCGCATACATACCTCCTTCGATCCACTGGAGATTTTCAGCATCCTGTCGATGTACTCTTTGGCTTTCTCGTGACGGTCCATCAGCCACAGGAACATCCCGGCGTAATAGAGGGGCCTTTCGCCTGCGATCTTGCGACTCTCTTTCAGATTGGCATCGAGTTCCTGAATAGCATCTCGGTCTGTGAGGGAACCTTTGTTAGTCATTCCGCAGCTATTTTACGCAACAATTGTTTTTGAGAGTAAGTGGACGGCAAGTGGAGAATGTCTGAGGTTCATTTGACTGCCCTTTATTGGGGGGTTGGGGGGGGTGGGGGGAGCTCAGTTGGAATATCGGAATAGGTTCAACCCTCTGCGACGGTCTCGGTAACCCGGGACGTCCCCACAAACTGTACTCCAAGGCACTGACAATGACGGATCACTTTAAAATCTATTCAGTTCCTAGGAATCGGTTGGGGCGGACTGGTCACTAACTGTGGTCCTGTCTGTCTACCTGTCCGGGTGGCAGTGTTGCAGTGTTGGCAGAGAGTTTCTCTCTCCCCGTGTCCTGACCGACAATTCCCTCCCAAATAAAATTGGTCATTCTCCACAGTTTGTGGGACACTCCTGTGCACAAATTGACTGCCGTATTCACCCACAAAACACACAGTCACTGCACTTTACAGTATGTCCTGTGAAGCGCCTACACCTTGTTTCTGTGCTCCAACCTTCCGTGAACGGCCCACCTCAGCCTCTGTATCTCCAGGGGTAGCCGAGATTCAACGCTTTGAAGTCTGTGCAACGAAAGCCAACGTGAAGAGCAATGAAACTCACCAATGACCGAGCTCCTTCTGTGCGCGTAAATAAGAGCCATGGTGGAGCACAGTGAAATATCCTGCACTTGCCTTACTGCCTCCAGGTCTCTGATGGCTTCTTGGATGCGACCTGCGAAACAACACAGAATTCTCTCCCGGTGAAAAACCTACCGAGGCTCGGGCAAATGCGGCTCAGCCCATTTTGTGTGTCAACCCGGCTCAGTGGGTAAGCACTCTTGCCTCTCCGTTTCCCCGGAGGACAGCTTTTGGCCTCGCTTTCGAAGCCCTCCACAGCCTTGCTTATCCCGACCTCTAACTCCATACCCACCTGCCCATTCCCTCCGTTCAGTGGGCTCTCAATGTCCCGTGAAGCGCTTTGAGAGGTCTCAACGACGTGATGAGGCGCTATATCAAATGCAAGGGATTTTTACTGTTAAAACCCGGGCGTGTCAGCCCGGTATGAGCCCGAAAAATCCTGAGGTGGGGCTTCTGACTCAGAGATGAGAGTGTTAGCCCGTTTTGTGACCTTACCTTCCATCAAAACCGCAAAACCTTTGAAGAAGAGGAGCAGCGGCTCATTGTTATACACCTGCATCTCTTTGTGTACAATATTCAGAACATGGTGGAAATATTTTTCCTGACAGTAGTAAACTATTAGTGCCTGAAATCACAACAGAGAAAAGGTTTAGGATTTTTACACGGGTTTTTGGTCAACCGGATGTCTGACCCAATGCGCGTAATAACAATCGTTGCGTTCGATACAGCATCTGGTCACGTCGTTGGGAGCGCTTCGCAGAATACGGGAAAACCCGATAAGGGGCTCTATCAAACACGAGGATTACGATTATCTTTATATTACTGTAAATTAAATTGACTGTACGTTTTTGGGGGGGCGAGACCCAGCAGCCGGTTGCGTACAGCAATGTCCCACAAACAGTCGTGGATCGAGGGACCAATTTATTTATTTGTTATTATTATTTTTTTTTGAAGGGATTATTATCCCAGGAAAGTGATCTGTCAGTCGACTAACAACCCGGTTCCTCCTTAGTAAATAGAGGCTGATAGTTAGTTCTACATACCCATGGAAATTTCCCAATGTCTGGGATGGAACGTGCGCTCTCGCCCACCCTATCTGGATGGATGGACCTGTTCACCTTATCCCGGAGTATATGAGATGGTGGTTGGCGAGAGCCAAGGCTTCGGTTCCCCAGAGGGGTTCCTGCCGGAGTTTATCGTGGGCAGACGGGACCTTTAGTTTAGTTCAATGTGTCATCTGAAGGGAAATGGCATCTCACGGGATCATTAAACCCGTGTCGGGGCTTTGAACTCACGGTCTAGGCTGACATACCTCGGGGTTGACGGGGCTGGGAGCGCACCCCTTCAGATGATACGTTAAACCAAAATTCCCGTGGGCCTTTCAGGTGGAAGTTAAAGATCCCCTGGCACTACACAAAAAAAAAAGAGAGTTTTTTTTTGCTGGTGCTCAGACCTAAGTGGAGTCCTGTAGGGTAGTGGTTAGATAACTCGCCTCGCAGGCGTGAGGATCCGGGTTCGATTCCCGGGCAGAGGGCGAAACCTTCGGCAAGTTTCCTTACTCCACACACACACACACGCACACACACACACACGCACACACACACACACGCGCGCACGGCCCACTGTTTTCCGAGCAGGAAATAGGAACCCTGTTGTTAGTCGATTGCAGATCGCTTTCTGCGGATAATAATTCCTTAAAAAAAAGGAATCATTTGGTCATTCAAACCCACGACAGTTTGTGGGGACGTCGCTGTGCTCAATTGGCTGCTGTGTTTCCCCCCCCACATCCCGTGAAGCGCTTTGGGACGTCTCGGAGATGTGATAAGGGGCTATACATCAAATGCGAGGATTATTATCATTATTATAACAGTTCCCCCAGATAAATTTGCTCATTTGCTTCATGGCTGTGTGTGTGTGTGTGTATATGTGTGCGTGTGTGCGTGCGCGTGGGGCATTGCTGCGCACAATTTGGCTGCTGCATTCACCGACAAACTACACAGTCACTACACGTTACAGCTGCAACGCGAATTCACCGATTTATCTCTGAATAGAGTCTTTAACACGAACCTGAACAGGAACACAAGGACTGGGGTCAACTTCTCACCCGAACAACGACACCTCCGACAGCGCCACCGCCCCCACACCCCACCCCACCCACACACCCACCCCCACCCCCAGCACCATACTGTAGCTTCAACCCAAAGTGCAGTCTCGGAACCAGGGCTGAGAGAGGGAGAAGAGAGAGAGAGAGAGAGCGCTGACCCAACGAAATGGAGTCAAACCCCCGGCTGTGCGGGTTCATTAACACGAATGACCCTAAGGAGGAAACAAAATAAATAATTAAAAATCCACCTACCAAAGTGGTCTCCAGGTCAGTCATGGCTCAGTTCGGGAGGGAACGGGGTCCACCTGCGTTCGCTCTGCTCTCCGAAGTCCTAAAGTTAGAACGAATACGGTATAAAGCCCCGCAGTGGAAAAATAATAATAATAATAATAATAATAATCCTTGCATTGGCTACAGCAGCGCCTTATCACGTCTTCGAGAGGCGTCTCAAAGCGCTTCACGGGCTCTACGGTGAGTGTAGATTTGGGGGGCGAAACGCGGCAGCCGATTGCGCACAAACACCCCCACAAACAGCCGCGGATCGAAGCGCCCCAAAATTCTCAGTAATATTACGCCGGAGTACCAATAGTAATAATCACGGTACACGCAGCTCACCTGCGGTTTGGTAGCCCGGGGTCCACACCCGAGCATCTCTGTTTCTAGGCGGTTACTTGTTACTAGGGTAACTATTGTCTTCAGGTCGCTGCTCGTCGCCAGGGGTTTTTTTTTTGGGGGGGTCACCTCGCCCGGCTTTAAGGGTTCTCCAAAACCCGACTGAAGGGTTCCCCTCAGTCGTACGTACCGTTTCTTACCTTTTTGGGGTGGGGGGGGGGGGGAAAAGGGACCCAACTGTCCAGCGCTTTGGGACGTCCTCCCGACGTGAAAGGCGCTCTATAAATGGAATCTTGTTGTTGTTGTTGTTGTATTCTTCGAACGCGGTGGTCGATCCGGGTCGGAATCCCTCTGGGCTGAGACCCCAGGTTACCTGTTCGTTATTGCTATCAAATGACCCCCTCCCCCACACACCGCCCCCACACACACCGCCCCCCGGGTATCAGATGTGGGATAGGAACAGGTTCAACTGTTCCAACGTTGGCACAGGTGATAAGACATCTATTTGTTCCTTATCTTTTGGGAGAAAAGGTGACCCAATTAATTATTTTGTCATCTATATTGCATAGAGCGCGAGATTACAATGATATAACCATCACTATAAACCCCCACAGAGGGTTGGCTTGAATCGACCATTCCATTGCCAAGGCAGGCTGCGTGTGTTGATACTAATAGCATATTCATATACCTCACCATTAATATAATATTATATTATAGTGGATATTATATTATATATTTTACAGTGGAGTCCTGTAGCTCAGTGGTTAGAGCACTCGCTTTGCAAGCGAGACACCTGAGTTCAATCCCAGGCAGAGGGTGAAACCTTGGGCAAGTTTCCTCACTCCACACAGACCCTAATAATAATCCTCCAAAACCCAAAACAATAATAAATTGGTCATTTTCAATCTACGACTGTTTGTGGGACATTGCTGTGCGCAATTGGCCGCCGCGTTCGCCCACAAATATACAGTCAATTCACTTTACAGTGTGTTCTGTGAAGCGCTTTGGGACGTCCTCCCGACGTGAAAAGCGCTATATCAAATGCGAGGATTATTATTATTATTATTATTATAATACAGGAATCCTGTAGCTCAGTGGTTAGAGCGCTCGCCTCACGAGCGAGAGGCCCGGGTTCGATTCCCGGTCAGGACGAAACCTTGGGCAGCGCTTCCTTACTCCTTACACCACACACACACGCGCCTGATAATAGTCCCTCAAGGGAACCCCCCTTCCCCCCCATAATAAACCCGTCGTTTCAACCCCTCCCGGCTGTTCGCGCGGTGGGCGGGGGGTGGGGGGGGGACAGACGCCGCTGTGCGCAATCGGCTGCCGCGTTTCGCCCGCAAAACTGCGCAGTCAGTTCACTCTCCAGCGTGTCCCGCGATGAGGCGCCGCGTCAACGGCGATAGTTATTATCATTCGGCTATTATCGTAACGCAGTGCAATGTACACATAGTTGGGGATATATCGTATATCGAATGACATTAATGCTATAATGTATTACATCTCATATTAATTTGTCATTACAGTGTACGTTCGTGTGCATTAGGATATATTAAATGATATTAAATGTTATAATGTTTTATGTCTCTGACATTGATGGTGATGATGATATGGATAAGAATAATAATAATAATAATAAGATGAGAGGTGGGATTTAAGTGACAGTGCGGCGGCGCTGCCGCGCGGTGGCGCTGTGGGGGGAGAGCGCGAGGGCTGACGGTGCGGCGGCGCTGCCGCGCGGTGGCGCTGTGGGGGAGAGCGGGAGAGCGCGAGGGCTGACGGTGCGGCGGCGCTGCCGCGCGGTGGCGCTGTGGGAGGAGCGGCTCCGCAGTGAGTGAGAGACAGACGAACAGAGAGGGAGAGGGAGAGAGGAAGAGACGGGCGGCGGAGGGGCTGTTCGGGACGGTCCGGGAGTCGGGAGCAATGGGCGGCTCTCAGAGCGCCCACAGCACCAGCGGCGGCGGCAGTGAGGGCTATCACATCCACGGGGTGAGAGCGGGGCCCCGGGGGGGGGGGGGGGAGGGGCAACTGCCGCCGTGGCACCGACTGACAGGGGAGAGGCTGGGCCTGGGCCCGGGGGGGGAGGGGGGGAGTGAGGAGGGGGTGAGGGGGGTATGTGGGGGGTTGAGGGGGGAGGGTGGGGTGTGAGGGGAGGGGGAGGGGGTATATGGGGGTGAGGGGGTATGTGGGGTGAGGGGGGTATGTGGGGTGAGGGGGGTATGTGGGGTGAGTGGGGGTGAGGGGGGTATGTGGGGTGAGGGGGGTATGTGGGGGTGAGGGGGGTATGTGGGGGTATGTGGGGGTGAGGGGGGTATGTGGGGGTGTGTGGTTGTGGGGGTGAGGGGGTATGTGGGGGTGAGGGGGGTATGTGGGGTGTGGGGGTGTGGGGGGGTGAGGGGGGTATGTGGGGGGTGAGGGGGGTATGTGGGGGTGAGGGGGGTATGTGGGTGTGGGGGTGTGGGGGGGGTGAGGGGGGTATGTGGGTGAGGGGGGTATGTGGGTGAGGGGGGTGTGTGGGGGTGAGGGGGGTATGTGGGGGTGAGGGGGGTATGTGGGGGTGAGGGGGGTGTGGGGGTATGTGGGGGTGAGGGGGGGTATGTGGGGGTGAGGGGGGTATGTGGGGGTGAGGGGGGTATGTGGGGGTGAGGGGGTATGTGGGGGTGAGGGGGTATGTGGGGGTGTGGGGGTGAGGGGGGTGTGTGGGGGTGAGGGGGGTATGTGGGGGTGAGGGGGGTATGTGGGGTGAGGGGGTATGTGGGTGTGGGGGTGAGGGGGGGGTGTGTGGGGGTGAGGGGGGTATGTGGGGGTGAGGGGGGTATGTGGGGTGTGGGGGTGAGGGGGGGTATGTGGGGGTATGTGGGGGTGTGGGGGTGAGGGGGGTGTGTGGGGGTGAGGGGGGTATGTGGGTGAGGGGGGTATGTGGGGGTGAGGGGGGTGTGTGGGGGTGAGGGGGGGTATGTGGGGGTGAGGGGGGTATGTGGGGGTGAGGGGGGTATGTGGGTGTGGGGGGTGTGGGGGTGAGGGGTATGTGGGGTGGGGGTATGTGGGTGTGGGGGGGTGGGGGTTGGACTGGAACATTCCATTGTCGCGGCGGCTGTGGGTATTAATATTAATATTGTGTTGTGTGACGCGGCGTATGGTACACTGTGGGATACAGTATATTTATAACGTATAAACCACCGCCCGGTCCGGTCCTCGCGCCGGGTCTGGACCCCGCACTGCGCCGGGTCTGGACCCCACACTGCGCCGGGTCTGGACCCCTCACTGCGCCGGGTCTGGACCCCGCACCGCGCCGGGTCTGGACCCCTCACTGCGCCGGGTCTGGACCCCGCACCAGGTCTGGACCCCTCACTGCGCCGGGTCTGGACCCTGCGCCGCGCCGGGTCTGGACCCCGCACCAGGTCTGGACCCCTCACTGCGCCGGTCTGACCCCGCACCCGCCGGGTCTGGACCCTCACTGCGCCGGGTCTGGACCCCGCACCGCGCCGGGTCTGGACCCCTCACTGCGCCGGGTCTGGACCCCGCACCGCGCCGGGTCTGGCGTCTCTGTCGTGTCTGTCTGTGCCGTTGACCGGTCGCGTCATTTGTCTGCGTATGATTTTGTTTTATGGCCGAACGAAACTGTTTGTACGAACTGCCAAGAGGAGCGGAATGTGTTTGCGTGTAGGAACCCTTTGATCTACCATCCCGGACTCCCTCCGCCTCACCCCCCCCTCCTCCCCCCTCCCTCCCCCCTCCCTCACCCCCCCACTGTGCCGCCTTCACTCCAAGGCCTGTCTCAAGACTTTCCTCGCTGATCGCGCTCGGAGAAGCCGCGGGAGAGCTTTTGCCCGGCAGCGCTCTCGATGGCAAGCCCGCAGATTTTCGCTGGTTAGACTCCAGGAGTTATCCCGTTGCGCACACTGGGAATCTCCCCCCTCCCCCCCCCTCTTCCTCTCCCTAGTAAAACTCTTCCTACGCAGCGAAATTCCCACGGCGGGCGGCAAACAGCTGTGTTGCCTTCTCAGTCTGGTTCAGATATTCTGAAGCGCCGGCGGTGAGTTCCCCGCAGACTGACCGCCCACCCCCCACACCCCCCCCCACACCCCCCCCCCCCCACACCCCCCCCACACCCCCCCCCCACACCCCCCGCGCAAAACTGAGACGGGTTCGTGATCTGGAACTCGGGGAAACGGAGCGATAAATATTGTGCAGATGACAGGAACATTCAATTAAGATTGAACAACTATTTTGGGGACAGGTTTTGCAGGTTGCGCTGCCCCTCCCCAACCACTTTGATTTACAACCAGATCATCAAATTAGAAAGGGTGTTGTCACTGTAATTATGGCGGTTTTTTTTTTTGGGGGGGGGGCGCGGGGAGGGAGGAGGGGGGGGCTTAACCCTTTCAGTGCTGTTTCTCAGTGCAGCACAGTTAACAGCAACTGTCGTTTACGCGGCCCCTTTCACCTCGGGGGGACGTCCCAAGCCGCCGGACAGTCAGTGGTTCGGACCCGAGCCGGGGCTTGGGAGCGGGGAGGGTGGAGGGCAATGGGAGTGGGGGGGGGGCGGGGGGGGAGGAGGGTGATTGGAGGCACGGTCGAAGAGGAGGGTCTTGAGACGGGTCTCGAGGGAGGCGAGGGAGGCGGCGAGGCGGAGGGACTGCGCGGGATGGAGTTCCGGAGGGTGGGGGCAGAGTGGCTCGCCGACGGTGGAGCGGGCTGTGCGGGGGTCCGTGAAGCAGGCCGGCTCCCGCTGAGAGGAGGGAGTGGGCAGGTTGGTAGGGGGTTAAGGAGGTCACAGACGTGGGTGGGGTGGGGGGGGGGCGGGGGTGGGGGGGAAGAGGAGAGCAAGGTCCTGGAGGGCTTTGAAGGCGAGGGGCCAGGATCTTGATCTGTACCCTCTGCGAGTTTAAGAGTTTGCACCTGAGCTGGGAGTGGAGACACGAGGGGTGGAGGGCAAGGGGGGGGGGTGGGGGGGTGGGGGGTTGGGACGTGTGGCTGAAGACACGGTCGCAGAGGAAGGTCTTGAGACCCGCCTAAGGGAGAGGCCCAGGCGGAGGCGTTCGGGGATGGACTTCCAGAGCGTGGGGGCAGAACCCGACCACGATACAAGCACATAGAGGGGTGCGGGCGGGGGGGGGGGGGAGAGAGAGAGGGACCACGAGCGCACACACACACACACACACACCACAGATGCACTGTTTGGATACCCACGCTGGAGCCAGCCCCCACCGCCGCCGCCGCCCCCGCCCCCCCCCATTAATTCTCCACCCCATCCTCCCACACAGCGCCGATAGACAGAAGCCACTGCCCGTGCGGCCACCGCTGCAGCAGGTGAGGCGCCCAAACCCAGCGACTGAGCCTCTTGCCAACGGTCGGCTTTCCTGTTGACTTGGAGGTTGAATGACCGACCGAAGCACGTGGTCGGGAGTGGCTCTCAGCGCCAGTCTCTGGCTGAAAGGGGCCATTGCTTTCGCCGTTTGCGCGGCTCCCGGGAAACCCGCGACGCCGCAGTGAAAAAGGCGAGGGTGGCGGTGGTTGTCGTCATCGTCGTCGTTGCAACTCCAAAGCGAATGTAAAACGAGGCGTTTAGGCGAGGCGCGTGACAACAAGATTGCGCTGGCGTTCGACGCAGCGCCCGATCGCGTCGTCGAGACGTCTCAGAGCGCTGTCACGGAATGCGCTGTGAAGTGCACCGACTGCAAGTTGTGCGGGCGAAACGCGGCGGCCAATCGCCCACCGCAGCGTCCCCCCCCCACCCCCCACCCACCAACGGCCACGGGTTGGAGAGACCAACTTATTATTATTGCTGTGGTGATGCCGGGGGGTGTATCACGCGGCTGTAGCCCAACCCTAAGGCTTCGGCGAACGTCGTAAAGCAGTGAATCAAATGCAAGTATTATTAGTATTATTATATGATAAAGTAACAATAGTCTCTGCTTTTTCGTTGTAGGTTCAAGATGATTCCCCAGCCCAGAAAGCTGGCCTGGAACCCTTCTTTGATTTCATCCTCACTGTGGGCAACACCAGACTGGTAAATGCCGCTATTCAGAATCTTTATCGCATGGTTTATCGCTTTCGGTCGAGGCCACGCCTGTTCTTTTCGGATTTCTCCCTCGACCTCCCCAAAGGCGAGAGGGCCCGGGTTCGATCCCCGAGCAAACCTTAGGCAAGTTTCCTCTGTTTGCCAACAGCAGTAATAATAATCCCTCCAAAAAAACAAAACAATAATAAATTGGTCATTTTCAATCCACGACTGTTTGTGGGACATTGCTGTGCGCCATTGGCCGCCGCGTTCGCCCACAAATATACAGTCAATTCACTTTACAGTGTGTTCTGTGAAGCGCTTTGGGACGTCCTCCCGACGTGAAAAGCGCTATATCAAATGCAAGGATTATTATTATTATTATTATAGCAGTAAGTAGGAACTCGGTCGTCAGTCGATTGGCGGATCGCGTTCTACGGGTGATTATCCCTTCCAAAAAAAAATCCGTTGGCTAATCAACTTGCTGTGCACAATCGGCTGCCGCGTTTACCTGCAGAATATGCAGTCAGTTCATTTCACAGGACATCCTGCGAAGCGCTTTGAGGCGGCTCAACAATGTGATGGAGCGCTGTATCAAATGCAAGGATTATTACTGTTTTTTAGTTCTTTTTAAAGGCCTTAGATTTGCGGTTTAGCAATTGCTCATTGCATAATAAAAAAAAAATATTCGAACCAGAGCCTCTCGGGTCAGGAAGATTTTTGAATTGCTTCACGATAATAATAATAATGATGATGATGATAATCCTCGCATTTGATACAGAGCCTCACCACCCCTCCTGATCCCAACCTCTCGCTCGGTTGCAAATCCTTGACATTTTAGCGCCTTGGGACGTACTTCTGACTTGAAAGGCGCTGTGTGAATATCATTCGTCGTTGTTGTTGACGCACGATGTCCTTGACCCCCGTCCAGAACCGGGAAAATGACACTTTGAAGGACTTGCTGAAAGCTAACGTGGAGAAGGCTGTGAAGCTGGAGGTTTACAGCATGAAGGTCGCCAAGGTCCGAGAGGTGGAGGTGGTGCCCAGCAACATGTGGGGTGGGCAGGGCCTGCTGGGAGCCAGCGTCCGCTTCTGCAGCTTCCAGGGCGCTCACGAACACGTCTGGCACGTGCTGGTACGTAGTGATGATTCCCAACGTGCTGTGGGAGTCCCTGCAGCTCAGGGGTCAGAGCCCTCTCGCCTCGCGCCTCGCGAGCGAGAGGACCCGGGTTCGATTCCCGGGCAGATCAGGGCGAAACTTTGAGCAAGTTTCCGCACACGCCGCCAGTAATAGGTGGGAGCCTAATTATTAGTCAATTGGAGGACTGCTTTTCCCCGGGGGGGAGGGTGGGGAGGGATAATTATCCCGGCAACAAAAACAAATGCGGTCACTCGATCCACGACTGCTTGTGGGCACGCAGTTGGCTGCCGCGTTTCGCCCACGAGACGCACGGTTGGTCCGTTTTACAATGTGTGTCCTGTGAAGCGCTTTGAGACGTCGCGGCGACACGATGAAGGCGCTGTTGAGCGCTGCTAACTATCCATTCCAACACGCTGCGGGATTTGTCCCCCAACAGAATATTGAGCCGAACTCTCCCGCGGACCTGGCTGGCCTGACCCCGCACACAGATTATATCGTAGGCGCCGACCAAGTGATGCAAGAGGTAAACCCATCTCTCCCCGCGCTACCGTGACATGTCAGGACGCCAGGAGGAACTCCCTTCGGATGAGAGATTGAAATAAACCGACGGTCTCCCATCTCCCCATTTGCGTGAAGGTTAAAGACCGCCCCTGCTGAGCTGCCCCCCCCCACCTTCCCCTACAAAATACAGTCACTACACTTTATAGTAAATCCCGGGAAGAGGATTTGAGACGCCTCCCAGTGTGAGAGGCGGCGCTATACCGAATACTGTGATCATCAATTATCAGCTCACCACTGACATTGAGCTCGAGCGCTACCCAGCCTGAAGGGCGCTAATATGAACACAAGTTGTTGTTGTAATTCCCGGACGCTGCAGGGCGAAACCTGCTGTCGCATCCTTGTAAAACAAGTTGGAGCAAGGCTGCCCTGCAACACCAGCTGAGCGCGGGTGACACGCGCTGACTCACATTTGCCGCACTGAGCCGCTGTAAAACCACTTGTTTCCTCCGCCCTCGCCCTCCCCCCTCGCCCTCCCCCCTCGCCCTCCCCCTTCCCTCTTCAGTCTGAAGATTTCTACAACCTGATCGAGCTCTACGAAGGGAAGCCCTTGAAGCTGCTGGTCTATAACAGTGAGCTGGACAAGTGCAGAGAGATTGCAGTCACGCCCAATGGCGCCTGGGGAGGTGAAGGAAGGTACGTACGAGGTAGTTGACTGTAACTTGAAGCCACGTGATATTAAATATAGAATCATAGAATCCTGCGGTCGGTCCAGAAGGAGGGCATTCGGCCCCCGGACGTTTGAAAGGGCTGTCCCACTCCCCTGTCCCTCTCTCCCCTGCTCAGTCCCCGCAGCCTTGCAATTCTTCCACGATATCAAAGGCAAGGATTTTTATTACGGTGCCCTTTTGCGACAACGCGTGTGCGGTCGATTGACTTCGCAGTATATTCTGTGAAGCCCTTTGAGACGTCCGGTAGACATGATAAGGCGCGGTGACAAATGCAAGGATTATTATTATTATTAACGGACGTACAGTGTTGCCTGTTTGCACACTCCGCCCTCGTCTGAACCAGCCCTGGTGCTCTGTGTGGAGGCAGCGTGAAATAATGACTGTCGCGATCAGCCTGCGGGTGAGATTTCGTGCTTCCCCAACGGGCTGGTTGAGATCAGAGAGCTGCTGCGTTCGGGAATTTGCAGGAACTAACCCAGGCTCGCGAGGCGAGTGCTCCAGGCCACTGTGGCTCTGAGGCAATCCCTGAGGATCTGATCAATACGAGTCAAAAAAGGTCGTCTGAACCTTGGGCCGTCTCCTCCCAACCTCGAAAGATTTAAAGAAACATTTAAAAAGTAAATGTAAAGTGGTATTAACACCTCGTCCCTTCCTCGCTCTCAGCCTGGGTTGCGGGATTGGTTACGGCTACTTGCACAGGATCCCCTGCTTCCCACCCGGGCCGGAGGAAACCAAACCCGATCTCTCGCCACCTCCGGCAGCAGCAGCACCAGCACCAGCCAGTCCAGCACCACAGCCTCCGGAGGACGGATACGCGGAGGTGAGTCGGCGCCCGGTTCGAAGGCAAAGCGTGGAGTCCCCGTGGCTCAGTGGTTTAGAGCGCTCTCGCCTCGCGAGTGAGAGGACCCGGGGTTCGATTCCCAGTCAGGACAGGGGCGAACCCTAAGGCGAGTTTCCTTACTCCACACACACACACACACATCTGTTTACCCAGCAGGAAACCAGTTATCGGTTGATTGGCAGATCGCTTTCCAGGGCTAATAGACTGTCAAGAATCGGACCGGGCGCTGTTACGGGGCTGAATTCCGTAAACACTTATGGTTTTGTGGGGGCGGTGGGATGGGGTGGTGGGGGTGGGGGGGTGGGGGAAGCCCCATGTGGGAATCTCGGGTTCGCTCTGCGAAGCTGTGTGAAGCGCCACGAGACGTCTTGTCCTCCCGGCTGTGACCGGCGCTATCTACACGTGAATTGTTGTGGGCGTTTTTCCAGGCATCGCTCATGGCCACCGGCGCTTCGAGTGACCGAATGGGCGACGGGCCAGCCGGGCCGGAGCAGGGAACTCCTGACCTGGAGCAGGGAGTGTCAGACCTGGAGCAAGGAATGCCTGACCTGACGATGGAAAGCTCGCTCCCCCCACCTCCTCATCCGCCGCCGCCTCTCCGACGAGTCATGGATCCAGGTATTCGGGAATCTTCAGCTCTCACAGGGGGCCTGAGCCCCGTCACCTTCACCAGGTTCACTTCGAGCCCCCCCCCCACCCCTCTCCTGCCCCTGCTGTGTGTCACTTTGTAATTGATGAGACAGTATAATAATCATTAATTGTTACCTATCAGTAAACAGTTGATTGTTAGTCGATTGGCGGATCACTTTTCCGGAGGTGATAATCCCTCCCTCCCACCCCCACCCCCACTCAAAAAATAATAATAATTTGGTGGCTCAATCCACGACCGTTTGTGGGGACGCTGCTGTGCGCAGTTGGCTCCCGCTTTTCGCCCACGAAACACACGGTCGATTCATTTTACAGTGAATTCCGTGAAGCGCTTTGAGACGTCTGAATGACATGATAAGGCGCTGTGTCAAAGCCAAGGATTATTATGATTAGGAATGAAGGGAACATTGTTCCGAAGGCAAACTTGCAGCTCATTTGCACCGAAAACCGCCGCCAACAAATGAGGTACAGATGGACGATACACAGAATAAGACGCTTGTTCAGTGGGCTCTCTCTCTCCCTCCTCCTCGTTCCCCTCCGCCGCACCATCAGCGGCCGCTCTTTCAGCCACCACACCCCTCTGGAAGCCTTGGAACTGTCTCCCTCAATCCCTCCACCTCACACCCCCTTTCTTCCCATCTTCACAGCTGAAGATCTTCCTCTTTGACCGTCCTTACGGTCACCTCCTCCCGCCCGCGCGCCCCCCCCCCAGCTCGGCATCAGGCTCCGTCACTCCCGAGATGCTGCCTTTCATGAAGTTGTTGTTGCTCAATGATAAAACCCGATTGTGTACCGTTTGCGGAGAGCGAGTGCCGATTGGGCTCGCATTTAACTTGGAATTTACTGCCTATTCTCGAACAGATAGTTCCCCCGTACCCGCAGAGGCCTGTGAGCCCCACAACCTGTCCGGGGTACTAGATCCGTCAGCTGCGATCACATCCTCCTCGGCTTTAGTCGGGACGACAGACAGCGCTCCGGGAACGGACGGCTCGCTCACACAGGGTGAGCTCAGTGCCCACTCGGGTAAGGCCACCTCCCTCCTCGTCTGCTTTTATTATCTTAAAAAAAATGATGATGATGATAATAATAATAATAATAATGTGGTCACTTCAATCCGCGGCTGACGGTCTGAGGGACACTGAGGGGTTATTACCCCCTGACAAAGTGGGACTGTGCGCAATTGGCTGCCGCGTTTCGCCCTTCGCTAAACGTGCCTCGTGTGGCCTGTGTCCCGCAGACCAGCCCTGCCAAGTTGCAGCCGAGGTTCCGGCCGCGGACAGCACCGTGCCGCTCGCTGCCCCGGCCGCTGAGGAAGCCGCTGAGAGCCCACCGGTCTTCGAGACGCCCACCCCATCGCTTCCGGCGTCACCCGGCCCCCCGCCTCTCCTCCCCGGGGAGCAGGACCAGCCTCCGCCCTCGCTGCCGCCGCCGGAGACGGAGAAGGTCGCCCCCCACGAACCCCCGGCGACCGAAGAGGAGCCGCGAAGCCTCGCGGCGGAGGAGGTCTCGGGGGGAGAAAATGAGAGCGATTAGGACTCCTGCGGCCTAGTGTTCTCGACCCGCTTTGCTCTTGTTCGCACCGCCGGGAGCTACATTAAGAAACGCAAGCGTTCGGGCGGCGAAGCTGCTTAATTTCGCATCGTAGTAGGCACAGAAAAAGGGGGCGATTAGGACGTCGGCTTTCCACCCCTCGCCTCGTCACACTAAGTCAGCCCATCACTGCAGAATATTCCCCTGTTGAGCAGAAGCAATAAGGAGATGGTTGAAATACTATCGGTGTAATACTAATGTCTCCTCGACGGGCGGAATCCGCCTTAATTTCCCCCCCCCCCCCTCCCCGTTACCTCTCGCGACCTCTGCGTGCCTTCTCCTGGTAAGGAGCCGACTTTTTAATATATATATATTATATTAAAAGAAACGCTCTCCGCTTTCACTAAAGACTTGGGATTTATACGTAGACCGTAGGCCTCGCATTTCGCTTTTCCCGCAAGTGAGAGCCGTTCCGCCCACGGGGGGCCGGTGGTGTGGAATAATCTCACCGACCCCCTGGGGCTCCCGGCTTCTGAGAGCCGGCTTGTAACTGGGCTTCGAGAGCGTGTGAGCAATAACGGTTCAGTTCACCCCGAGAAAAAACAATGACGGCATCTATTAACCCACCTGCGAAACAGACTTTAAATGACGAATGAGAGAATCCTACTGTCCGATCATTGACTAGAAATTTCCCCGGTGATAATCTCGCCGTCACTCTTTGGTTTCGGTGTTTTTCTTTTTTTTTTACACACACAGCGCCAATTTTATGTCATGTGTCGTTGCCAAATGCCGAGGGTATCTACGGCCCCCCCCACCACCCACAGCGCTGCCCCCAGAGTTTTATTATTTCTGTCGTCGTTAACACTCTTTACAGTAGAACCAAAGTGGTGGCAAAGAGGGATGTGTGTGGTGGGTCCTGACTGACCTGCGACAAGCGTCTGCGAGCGGCAGTTTCTATCGACGCATTTTTTTTTGTGGAAAAAAAAGGATATTGAAAAGCTATTTCCAGTAAACGCGGGGAGCGCTGCTGTACGAGGTGAAGGAGGGCACAGGGTCGGGGGGGTGAGGGAGGGAGGGGAAAGGGGAGAGCGTGGGCGAGAGGTGGTGGTAGTGGTGGGGGGGGGGCGGAACGATGGTAACTTGAGGGTTTAGGGCTCTAATGGTGGAGGAATTTTCAACTTAGTTTTTAATCATCAGTTTTTCATCTTCATTTTGGAATGAGTGAGTGGGTGGGAGTGTGTGTGCGTGTGTGGGGTGGGGGGCAGTGGTGGAGAGTTCTCCACGACGTGATGAGGCGCTAAATCCAATGCAAGGATGATGATGATTATTATTATTAATATGTGACCTCGGGGCTCGTATTTATTTTCTAAAATCCGGTTTGTTTTTCGAAATACCGTTCGCAATGGGAACTGTCAGCCCAATTGGGTGAGGGGGCGGTGGTGGGGGGGGTGGAATCCTTTGCCCGGGCGTTAGTCGTGGTGCTCTGGCCACAGAAATCCAAGATGGCTTTTCTTGTCCCTTCTTTAGTGAAGGGGACGGGTGATTTTTTTTGGGGGTGGGGGTTGGTGGGTGGGGAGGGGGAAGCGAGTGCACATTTGTGTCGATCGTGAAGCTGCAATGCCTCACTCGCTCCCTCCCCCCAGGTCGCTGGTCAAAAAAAAAAGGGTCCAGAGTCAGACGACACGAGTCGGACTCTGAACTTGCAATTACTATAGCACTAACGGGTCTTCAAGTCACAGTAATTAATATAGATGATACTTTTGATATGATGTGTACATACGGGATTGCTGTGGCCGCTGGGAGACTTTTTTTTTAACACAGAGGGTTAATTTTGATAAAAGAATGAAACAAAACGGTTTGGGGGAGGACGTGATATCCGGCTGTATATGTTGAAACACACCAATGAACTGTATTTAAGGTGCTTAACATTAGCGACAATAAACTTTTTAATCGGGCGTTGGTTCTACTTTACTGTTTAAGCAACAGCTCCCGTCTCATTTTGGAACGGTTGTACTAATCATCTTTGCATTTTGATAGATGATCACCGGCGTAACTACTTTTTACACTAAAATGCTTTCAGCCTATGTGTCCTTACCCTCTCGGACTCCTTCCTTGGCTAACCCCACACCCCCCGCCCCCCCGCTCCCACCGACTCCCTCCCTCCCTCCCTCGCATCGTTCCAGGTCTGCCTCGAGATCTTCCATGGCCGAAGGCACGGTCAAAAAGGAAGGTCTCGAGACAGGCGTTGAAGGAGGTGAGGGAGGGAGGGAGGGAAGGAGGGAGGAGGAGAAAAGCCATTCTTTTCGGTGTTGCGGCCTCAGTTTGAATAGTCGCTACGATCGATCCACGTAACGCGCGGAAAACATTCGTGGAACAAGGACTCGGCTTCCTGACACTTATCAGTCGATTGGCGGATCGCTTTCTGGGATTCATAACGAAAAGTGTGGTCACTATGCACTGCTGTGTTTTTCCCGCAAAATGTACAGTCAATCCACTTCACAGTGCGTTCTGCGAAGCACTCTCGGACGACCCGATCAGACGCTGCATCCAATGCAGTAATCGCTGTCTGAAAGTGGCTGATCTCCGACAGGGAAAAGCAGCAGCAAATTTACCCGCGAGCCGAGGCCCACAGACGAGAGGGGAGGGGAACAAATGACCGGTTTACCTGGACGGTCGATTGGCTTCATCTCCGGCTCCTGTTGGCACCTTCTCCTGGCGCGTGAGGGTGAGAAACCCAGGCTCTGAGCCAAGCACAGCACAGAAGGAGGCCATTCGGTCCATGGTGTCTGTGCCAGCTCTTTGAAAAGAGCTTCCAAATCAACCCCAATCCCCCCTACCCCACCCCCCTCCCACCCCCCCTCTCTCTCTCTCTCTCCCTCCCTATCGCCCATGGAGTTACACAGCCCAGAAGGATTGTCACCACCTCCTTTGGCGGTGTTGGGCCGATGCCACGCCACCAAGAAGCAGAACGATCTCACGTGTGGAGCGTTACTCGGCGAGTTCCCCCTCGCGAGGAGTTAGCGGAAGAACCGTAATAATAATCCTCACGATGGTCCTCTGGTGATACGTCAGCGGAATGGGAGCTTCGAGGCGTCTCGACGCCGCAAATCATCTTCGCCCCTCCAATAAAAAATTAACCCGTGACATTTTCTGCCCTTAAATCCAAACCGGGAGCGCACCTTTGATAAGGTTAAAGATAACCTGTGCTCTTTAGTCTAAGAGTCAGCTCTTAATCCAGTCGCTTACGGCGAGTTCTTTTCTTTTTAAAAAAAAAAGATGATGCTTTTCTGACGGAGAAGATTTTTTTTTCGGGAGGGATGGGGGAGGGAGCGGTGGGTGAAGGACGGGAAGAGATTTACTTTTTTAAAAAAAAACCTTTCCTGAAAGGTGCTTTATAATTTTTTTTTAATGATTTCTCTTTTCCTCTCCCCCCCCCCCCCCACACCCCCCCACCCCACCACCCCTTTGTGTGTGGGATCCTGAGCTCAGTTAGAGAGAGAGAGAGAGAGAGAGAGAGTGAGTCTAACCTGCTGAACAAGGTGTTGCTCAAGTCTGTGCTAAACCATTCAGTAACTATCATCTCTCTCTCTCTGTGTCTCGTCTTACAGTTTACCAGCAAAGGTCGAGATTGAATCAAATCGAACCACTCGCGCACACGCACACACACACACACACACACACGCGCGTAGACACACACAGCAGCTGACACGTCAATGTTCAGGGTACATTTGACTTGCCGAGAAGTGTCTGAACGCAACCCCGACCCGGTTCACTGGACGGTTGCCGGGCTCGGGGTGGAATCTGAAACCCAACTCCCAACGCCAGGCCGGTTCGATGGAGAAGAGTCAGGCTCCAGGTGAGATCCGAAACCCAGCTCTATCCAGGCTGGTGGGGTTGATCGGGGCTATGGGGAGAGAGCGGGGGAGTGGGGTTGATCGGGGCTATGGGGAGAGAGCGGGGGAGTGGGGTTGATCGGGCTATGGGGAGAGCGCGGGGGGAGTGGGGTTGATCGGGGCTATGGGGAGAGAGCGGGGGAGTGGGGTTGATCACGGCTATGGGGAGAGAGTGGGGGAGTGGGGTTGATCAGGGCTATGGGGGGAGAGCGGGGGGAGTGGGGTTGATCGGGGCTATGGGGAGAGCGCGGGGAGAGTGGGGTTGATCGGGGCTATGGGGAGAGCGCGGGGGAGTGGGGTTGATCGGGGCTATGGGGAGAGAGCGGGGGAGTGGGGTTGATCAGGGCTGTGGGAGAGAGAGGGGGAGTGGGGTTGATCGGGGCTATGGGGAGAGAGCGGGGGAGTGGGGTTGATCGGGGCTATGGGGGGAGAGCGGGGAGAGTGGGGTTGATCGGGGCTATGGGGAGAGAGCGGGGGAGTGGGGTTGATCAGGGCTATGGGGAGAGAGCGGGGGAGTGGGGTTGATCGGGGCTATGGGGGAGAGCGGGGAGAGTGGGGTTGATCAGGGCTATGGGGAGAGAGCGGGGGAGTGGGGTTGATCAGGGCTATGGGGAGAGAGTGGGGGAGTGGGGTTGATCAGGGCTATGGGGAGAGAGCGGGGCAGTGGGGTTGATCGGGGTTATGGGGGGAGAGCGGGGGAGTGGGGTTGATTGGGGTTATGGGGGGAGAGCGGGGGAGTGGGGTGTGCATGTATATTCCCTGTGTGGGGGTAATATGCTCTGTGTGGTGGAGGGGGTTATATGCGTGCGTGTGGGTGAGGGAATGGGTATACATGTGTGTGGGAGTATATGCGTGTATGTGTCTCTGTGGGGGGGGGGTGGATAATATGTGTGTGTGGTAGAGGGGTATGTGTGCGTGTGTGTGGGGGGGGGGGGGTCGGGTATGTGTGTGTGTGTGTGTGGGGCGGGTATGTGTGTGTGTGGGTGTGTGGTGTGGGGGGGTGCGGGTATGTGTGTGTGTGTGTGTGGGGGGGTGCGGGTATATGTGTGTGTGTGTGTGGGGGGGTCGGGTATGTGTGTGTGTGTGTGTGGGGCGGGTGGTGGTGGGGCGCGGTATATGTGTGTGTGTGTGTGGGGGGGTGCGGGTATGTGTGTGTGTGTGTGTGTGGGGGGCGGGTATATGTGTGTGTGGGGGGGGGGCGCGGGTATATGTGTGTGTGCGCTTTGAGACAGGCTTCTGACTCGGAAGCGAGAGCGAGAGCGCGAGCGAGACAGCGCGAGAGGGCGAGAGCGGCGCTGAGCCGGGCCTCCGGGTCACTGTCCCGGGAACCGCCCGATCCTTCAAGGAAAAAGTTCCCGATTTTCCAGGAGACGTTTGGAGAGCGGAGAGCGAGGACGAAGATAAAGTGGCGGCAGCGGGGGCGGTCTCGCTGGTGGTGGGGAGCTGTCGGAAGGGGGTGGTCTCGCTGTGCGCCAGCGTGGCCGAGCTGCTTAAGGTGCAGCGCAGGTGAGCGGGGTGGAGGGAGCGGGTGGGGTGGGGTGGGGTGGGTGGGGGGGGGTGAGGGGTGTTGGGGGGGGTGTTGAGGGGTGGGTGGGGGCTGTGGGTTTCTTCTGCACTGAAAGACTGATGCTTATCGGAGGTCAACAACAACAACAACAACAGTCCTGGCGTTTGACCCGGCGCCCGATCACGCCGTCGAGACGTCTCAAAGCGCTTCGCGGGACACGCGCTCTAAAGTGTAGTGACTGTGTGTTTCGCGGGCGAAACGCGGCAGCCAGTTGAGCGCAGCGGCGTTTCCCACCCCCCCCCCCCCCCCCCGCTTAAGGAAACTGACCGAAAGTTTGAGCCCGGCCGGGGAATCGGACCCGGGGTCCGCTCGCTTGCGAGGGCTCTGACCACCGAGCGACGGGGCTCCAGCGCCGGATGCTTAAGCCGCCGTCTCCCAAATGTTCTCGTCGTCTGTGTGTGTGTCTGTGTGTGTCTGTGTCAGACTGGAGAGGACCATCAGATCCCAACAGCTGGAAATCGAGCGATTACTCAGCACGTCCGGTCCGCGGAGTCACCGGGCGTCGGTCAGCACTCAGACCGGCAGCCGCCGTTCCGCCAGCCCAGGCCCTTCCCGCGACCAACCTCTCTGCAGCCCAGGTAAGCCGCAGCGGGGCGTGAGCCCGGCTCTGTGACCAGCGCTCTCGCCTCGGCGTCGGGAAAGGTTTGGATCTCCCCGCGGCCCGGGCTGCCGCTGCCGGGCGGGTTGGTCCTCCCGATGAGACGGGCGTCTTGTCGGTCTGTTCGGGCGGACGTTGAAAGACGGCGGAATCAAACCCAGGTCCTCTCGCTCGCAAAGCCGACTGCTCCGACCGCTGAGCTACAGGGCTAATAATGAGCTATGATAATGATGATGATGATAATAATACAAGGCCTTTCTGTCTGTTCCCTGGTTTTACTCGGGCTCCTTCTTGCCTTTTCAGTCGACCGAGCTGGGGGTCTCTGAGAAGCGGAGAGAGAGCAGCGACTGCGCGGGGCGCGGCACCCGGAGCCCACCGCCACGGGAGGAACGGACCTCCAGGCTGACGTTCCAGCCCTGCGCCAGGACACCCGGCGAGAGAGAGAGAGCGTCACCTGAACAGGGCACGGGACCGGACCCCCAGGTTTAACGTCTCATCCGAAGGACGGCGTCTCCGACAATAAAACCCACCCCCAGCGCTGGTCAGGTGGACGTCCCACCTGCCTGTCCGAGGTAACCTTCTGAGGAGGCACTATTCTGGAGGTGTCCAGCTGGATGTTGAAGGTCCCCAGGGCCCTACTCGGAGTTTCTCTCTCTCTCTCTCTTTCCCCCCCCACCCTCCCGTTGTCCTGGCCGACAATTCTCCCCTCAATAAAACCGGTCATCCCATCCCAGTTGTTTGCGGGACACAGTAATTCCCGTGAAGCGCTTTGAGACGTCCTTCCGACATGATAAGGCGCCGTACCGAACGCAAAGGGGGGCGATGTGGGGGGTGTGTGTGAAGCTTTTGGAGGGAGCGGGGGTGTGGGGTTGCAGGTCACCCAACACATGAGCGCAAGAGGAGACAGAGTCGCAAAGGACAATTTCAGGACAGACACCAGGAAGGGGTTTGACCGAAACCGGCGGTCGAAGGGGTATCGGGTCCTTAAGATTTCTAGGTTCAAAAACGTAGGTCTTGAGACGGACCTGGAGGGAGGGAGGGAGGGAGGGAGGGGAGGGAGAGAGGGAGGGAGTGAGGGAGAGAGGGAGAGAGCTCCAGAAAGTAGGGGAGTCTGTCAATGGTAACAGGGGGTTTAGGGGGAATGGGAGGAGAAGGGGAGCTATTGAGATTAGACGAACTGCCGTGGGAGACTCGAACGGGGTCCGGGTTGTACTGTGAGCATTTGTGACTATGGTCACCTCCTCCCTCTCCCCGGCTCGGGGTCGGGCTCCGCTCGTCTTAAAGGGCCCTGTGTGAAGGGCATTGTTGTTGTTGTTGTGGTGGTGGTTGTGTTGGTTGTTGTCTCATGGCTTCCAGCAAACGCCCTCAGCCGCTGGTTCCAGCCACAGTGAGCCGGGCGAGTGTCCCCGCGGCAGGAGGTCTGGGAGCGAGGGGGCTCGCCGCTGCTCGCGGTGGGGAGTGGGGTGGGGGTCTCGGGTCAGCGGGAGCGGAGAGAGGCGCCAACAGTCGGAGCGCCAGGGCCCCGGCAAAGGCACAGTCGGGCCCTCAACCCCGGGCTCGACGAGGCTCGCTTCCCCTGACCCCGTCGACCCACGGGCAGCGGTGACCTTCCGCGTGAGAAATCTTCTCCCACGAGGATTAATGTTAACGTGTCTGACCAGCACGATAACCATCCGATACAAACACAGTGAATCCTTTGAGACGTCTCAAACCTATGTCAAATGCAAGAATTATTATCATTATTATTATTATTATTATTATTCCAGACACAGATTTAAATGTGTAAATGACTTACATGGAACGGGTTGTTTTTTTTGGATACTCAAGGTTGGCAATGAGTTTCTGCGTGTGTCGAGATCCCCCCCCCTCCACCCCACCAAACCCCACTGCCCCCCACCCCCCCACCCCCACCAAACCCCCAGCTGACCGAAAACAGCAGGACAAGAGGGTTAGGGATGTAAAGAGCAAGTTTAAGACAAACACAAGGAAGCTTAAATACACACACATACATATATATACAGGTTAATCAACAGCTGTGACGACGTTACAGGGATTGGGGGTTGAGGCCAGGACACTGGACCTAACCGAGAGACTTCTCGATCCTGTAATGAGAAGGTAGACAGTAAGTAAGGTGGGCATTCGGGTCACGTACCGCCGCAGGAACTTCTTCATCCAAATCTCTGATGTGGTCTGACCAGCCTGGCGACATTGCCTCCTGTGACGAACATTGACAAAAGCAAAGCCCAGGGCTTTTTTCACAACCCAAACTCTTTACAAAACACGAGCACTTTGCCAGTCGTTACACACAGCGCCGATCGCAAGTCAACCCCAAGCTCCCATCGCACACGACGCACACGGTCCCAGGTTAGGATCTCTTTTTTTAAAAACAGCGAAAGACAAGTAATGATTTGGCCACTCGATCCACGGCTGTTTGTGGGGACTCTGCTGTGAGCAAACGGATGTCCGCAAAACACAGTCACTCCACTTTACAGCATCAGCGCTTTGAAGCGCTTTGCAGACGTCTCAACGCTGTGATATGGCGCTAGATCAAATGCAAGATTATTATTATTTACATGATATCCCATGAAGCGCTTTGAGGCATCTCAACGATGTGATAAGGCGCTATATCAAATGCAAAGCTTATTATTATTATTATTATCATTATTATCATAATCTCTTAAGCAGCGTTACTTAAGCGGTGGTTTCTGAAATACGACTTGTGCTTTATAACCCGATATTAAACGTGAAAGGTGATGCATTGCCCCTTTTCAAGCCTAAGCTTCTCAGGACGTTAAAACCTTGTGCAAAGAGTTTTTAAGCAATGTAAAAAACTGTAACTCAAGAGGTCAGCCTACACTATACCCTGCGTCTATGGGGAAATGTCTGATTTTATTGCTTTGGTGGTGAAGTTTGTTTCGGTCAGTTTCTCATGCAGGCGTCGGGGAGAATGACTTAAGATTTCATCAACTCGGAAATCATTGCCCCCTCAGCGAACAAATACACGCGTTTGAATTTCTTTTGCGTATTGTATGTGTGTATATATATATGCTGTATATAATATAAAAAGTCCTAAGATGTGGCGAAAGTATCTATTTACTTCACGAGGTGGAAGGCTGCCCGCTCATCACGCTCCTAACGTGGCATTAACTGTTGCATCGAACCTCCATTAAACTGCTTTCGTCCTGTAAACCGAGGTTAGTGCTGGTCGACAATGACTGATTTGGGAGCGGATGTGGGGAAGGGAGATGGCAAGAGAGGAAAGGAATAAAGGGGAAGCTTTTACTGTTGGGTAACCCTCAAACCCAAGCAGCCGGACGGGTCACTAACTGGTTTGAATCGATCAATGCGTAGGAAGCCACTCGACTGGCAGGTTTGGTGGACGGTGAACTAGATGGACCTTGGGGCTTCTTTCACCTGAAAATCCTTACGTTCTTAAGGTTTAACTGGAGGTTTAACTCGTTACTGACCGCGCTAAGCAGAGGTTACCTGTTCTCTCTGTATATTGGGGTGGTGGTGGGGGGGGGTGCGAGGTACTTGGAAACATTAACAGGTCAGCCTGAGACAAGCGCATTCTCATTCCAAGCCCTGATGGTAAGTACAGTCGAGAGGTTGACTGCAAGGGTTTGGTAAAGATTTCCACCACCTTCACGCTCTCTTTTTTTTTAAAAAAAAAGAAGTTATTTGATAAGTCAACTGAATAAAACGTATCCTTTATTGCCTAACGACGAAACCACAACACTGCTTGTTTTTTGGGGCTAACAGAGTACTGGCGTTTTTAATTTAGTAAAATATATATACCATGCTTGAACCTTCAAAGCGGCGACAGAGCGAACATCTTCGGGAGGGAGGGGAGGGCAGGGCGGTGGTGGCGAGGTGGGCGGGTGGGTGGGTGATGGGGGGGAGGGGGGGTGAGATGTCAGATCAGAAAAAGTACATGAAATTAGTACCTGGGAGGGGGGGACGTTACTGTGTTTTTTTTTAAAAAAAAAACGCTGGCAATGGTTCAGCTGTGTGCGATCTCCACTCCAATCCTCTCTACCCCTCGTGTTTCCCCTCTTACCTGCAAAGCAGCTAAAGGCCGACCGGTGCTGTTCAAATGCCATTCGAATGGACACTGAACCGTATGGAGAAGCTGTTAGTCAATGACCAGATATGTAGTAAGGTGATTGCAACGGTCAACGGCAAAGAGGTGCCACTGGGTTGGGAACAAATGCAGAAGCGCCTCCTGGATATATCCCTTTGATAGATTATTTATAATCCTATAGATTTAGCACAGAGTATTCTCTCCGCCCCCCCCCACCACTGCTCCCCCCTCCACCACCCCACACCTCTGTCAATCTACAATATTCTGCGTCTGGCAATCAATTTACACTCTTCCTTAATACGGTGGCGTTCGAATCGTCGGAACAATCGCGCGCTCTCTCCACGCTGGATTAGTCGGTGAGCCGGGTCGAATGCAACAGGGCTGCGCTGGGGCTGTTTGCTGTTTTGCCCAGTGCAGGGAATGATATAGAGGTGGGAGGGAGTTCACAATTACTGAAGAAGGTGGGGGGAAGAGGGGAAGGGGGAGGGTGGGGAGAGAGGGGGCGAGGAGGGGGGCAGGGGGGGGGGCGAGGATTCCCTGATCCAATTAGACATCACGTTGACTTCTGTCGGTAATGCAGGGTCAGGTCACCCCCGCTCTTCCAGATGAAATGCTTGACTGTCCGCAAGTCCATGTTTGGATCCAGCACCTAGAATCACAGGATAATACGGGTTATGGCACCGCCGAGGTGGTGGTGGTGGTGGTGGGGGGGGGGGGGAAGTGGGGCTTTCACAGCAGCGTGATACAGAGGGAAGAGCCCCTTCAAAATGGGCCTCGCCGTAACTCGGGTTCAACTCGTGACAATAATAATCCTCGCAATTCACACAGCGCCTCACCAAGCAGCCGGGAACCTTTCGACGCAATGCAAATTTACATTTGAACGCCGGCTTTCGTGTTGGGAGGACGTCCCGAGGAGCTGGAAGCTGATGGCTGGGCAACCCGGGCCTGTGGGTGGGAGCCAAGGGAAGCGGGGGAAGGGGAAAGATAACCCCAAAAACACAAAGCCGGTCACAGGATTTACTGTAAAGTGTAGTGACTGCGTGTTCTACGGTAATAATAATAATCCTCGCGTTTGAAAAGCACTTTGTCGTCTTCGAGACGTCTCCGAACGCTTCGCAGAATTAGACGGTAAAGCGAATTGACCCACAGTCGGAAACTGAACGGGAAGTCCTGCGAAGTGCTTTTGGAGGCATTCTCCTGCGTCAAGTGCGTTGATTATGATTATGTGATCCGGGGTGTCCTGACGGGAAAGCGCTGACCAGTGACTTGATCACATCCTTAACGATAACCGGCGAGCTGCGCAGACAGGCTCATTATCACATGTCAGTGTACCTGACCGGCCCATGCTCTGTCAACGCCAAGTGGAGACAGACGTGATAATGAACTCCTCTCTGCAGGAGAGACAGCAACCCAAGGCTGTCAAGCGAGCAGAACATTGAACCTGCTGCTGTCTCTGCTTGCCAGTCTGTCCTGCCTGAAGGAGGCCCGAGCGTGGGGGTGGGGGTAAAGGTGTAAAGACATGTTTCGAGGGAATAGCGCAACAACTCATTGCAATTATTTCTATGGTAAAGTTTTACGCTTAAGAATTCTCGACTTTTGACCCGGCACCTACACTACCGAAATGTCTCAAGGACCTTCACGGGAAATAATGATCCTCGCATTTGATCCTTGAGTGATAATCATCATTTGATACAGAGCCTCATCACGTCGTCGAGACAAAAGGGCTGCACGGGACATACTGTAAAGGGAATCGACTTGTGGGTCGCGTGAGTGAAATCGCCGTAAAGCTTTGAGTGATTGTGGAATCGTAGGGAGCCGATATACGCACAGCAAAGTTCCACCGCGCCTTATCAAGTCGTTGAGACGTCTCAAAAGCGCTTCGCAGGATATACTGTAAAGTGGAGTGACTGTGTGTTTTGTGGGCGAGACTGGGCAGCCAACTGCACCCAGGGGCGTCCCCACAAACAGCGGCGGGTTGAGTGACCAGATTATTATTATTTTTTTGAGGTGTGAGAGAGGGAGAGGGGGGAAGGGAGAGCTGACCTGATCTTGACAAAGCAGCTCAATCTTCTCCTCTGCCAGGACAGCGATGTCTTCATCCTTGTCCTGTTCTCCCGGCTTCTCCGTGTTGGAGGAGCTGGTGGTCTGCGATTCGTTATCCAGATTGATTATCTTCTCGTAGACGTGCTCCATCACCTTCCGCACCTGCAGCATGTCGCTGGCTGACAGTCGATCCCTGGAGGATAACAGTAATAATAATCCGTGCATTTAATATAGCGCTCTATCCTGCAATCCCTCCGTCCCTCTTTTGCCTCCTTCAAGTTCCATCCGAAGCCTTTCCTCTTTGATCGTGCCTTCGGGCGTCCTCCCCCCCCCCCCCCCGCCCTCCTCCGCTTGTGACCCCAACTCCCAGCTCGGGTCCAAAACCCGATTGCTCAGCGCCCTCGGGACGTTTTTCTGACACGAAGGGCACTATCTCTTCAAGTGTCATTTCGCGTTGTTGTTATCAGGCCTTCGAGACGTCTCAAAAGCGCTTCCCAGAATATACCGTAAAGTTCACGAGTATCTGAATCAGTAAAATAAGTCGTTGTTCTGAGCGTTGGGGGAAAAGGGCCGGGGTTTAGAACTAAAATGCCTCAATTTCTTTTCAATTTGAGACGTAGGGAGTTCCTGATATCCGCTCTCAGGATGGAGGGTAAAATGCATCCGTTGGGGCAAGAGATTAAAGGAGGGGGGAGGTGCCCTTAGGTGCGGTAGAAGAAATATATTTTAAGACCGGATTTAAAGACAGCGAGAGGAAGGGATAGAGGCAGCGAGTTGCAAAGGTGAGTGACTTAGTGACTGACGGTGGCGTGAAGGGGTTGGGGGCACAAGGTAGACATGGCAAAGAGTGATTTGTAGGTCTAATAGTCTGCATTTATGTCAGTACAGGAAGCACGGTGGGAAAGTTAGGTCCGAAGGCGTCTTACGAACCCATTACCTCTTAATCTTATAGAGGATCAAAATACCAATAGGTTCCAACGATGGGAAACACCACACAAAGAGGGACTGCGGGTGATTTGATTGTTTGTGAACCGGGGGTGAGGAGGAAACCTTAGAGCTCGGCACTTAACAGCGTTATAATTACATCCACTTACTTCTTAAGGGTCTTAGCTCCCGAAGACGAATGTGGCTGGAGATAGAACGGGATTTTGTTGAATTTGGGCATGTTTTTCTGTGAAGGAAGATGGTAACGTTTGAGATCACGGAACACTTTGCCACATCTTTCACCTAAGACCATACTGAACAAACACATAACAATGATAATAATAATAATCCTCGTGTTTTGACACAGCGCCTTATCACGCCGTTGAGGCGTCTCGAAGAGCTTCACGGAATACACCACTAAGTGAATTGACTAAGTTTTGTGGGCGAAACGCGGCAGCCAATTGCGCACAGCGGTGTTCCCCCCACAAACAGCCGTGGGTGGGTTGAGCGAGCCCAGAATCTTTTGTCTCCCGAACTCAAGTTGCTGTAGCCATGATAGCATCTCCACGGCCGATATCGCCCGACTCTGCAGAGGCTAACTTCCCCGGGGATGTCCTACAAAGAGCTGGGAGGTGAATGACCAACTTGCCTGCAGGACCATTGACAAAATAACCCGGGGAGTAACCCCCTTCACCTTTTCAAATCGTACAGCGGAATCTCTTCACGTGCACCTGAGCAGGCAGACGGGACCTTGGTTTTTATATCGTGCTGGAAACCCAACGCAGTGCTTCCCCAACGCGTAGACTAGGAGTTCAAAGTCCCAACGGGAGACTTGAACCCCACAACAGACTGACGTCGAAAAAAAAGCCAGATCCGTTTTAGTGTTGGGAGAGAGAACTGATTCGGTACGTTACTCACATCGACAGTGATGTCAATGACCCACTGAGGGACGGTCTCGTTCAGAAGCATGGATTCGGTTTCGCCCCCAGCGTCCCTGCACAGAAGCCTGCGAAGGAGAATTGAAGAGGTTCTACAGACTTCCCCAAACGACAGACAATCACAGAAGGACACAGGTACACTATATACACATCACACCAGGTGAATGTGATCACCTGTCTTAGCTGATTGCATACAGTGATGTACGATAAATACCTGAAGAGGGTCCGCCCGCCTGCCTCACCGAATATGACTGGGGTGTGTGGTGGCACTTGGAAATACCCATTCCCTTTCTGTATTCGGTTCTCCTGTTCGCCGTTAACTGAAGACAGAAACGAAACGTTGAGGTTCCATAGATTACGTACACAGATAACCGACCCACCAGAGACATTAAAGGACATTAAAAGAGACAAGAGTTGGAGGTAAAGTCCCACAAAGGAATTGGCCCATGAATGCACAACACAACCACTGCCAATAACCATTGAAACATTTTGACATTGGCTTCTCTCTCGATGGCACCAGATATTCAGCGCTGAAGGGTTCCTATTGTTAATCCGTTGAATGTCATCCCAGACGTATTCGCTTACTCATGGTATCTCTCTCTCTCTCTCTCTCTCGGAATGCACGATCTGGTTTTGGTGGGATTTCACGAGTCGTGGTTGCTGGAGCTCTCAGCCTCGAGAGAGAGATTTTCTCGACCTCACATTCGGGTTGAAATCCCTTCGCTCTCTGGCACCTCCCTAACTCCGCGAGCTCCTCGCTTCCCCCAATCCACCACCCGGTCAGCGGGCTCCTGCTCGTCCCTCGCACCCCCCTCTGCCCCCACCATCAGAGATCTCGCTTTCAGCCACTACCTCCTGAAACTCTGGGACGCTCTCCCACAATCCCTCCTCCTGCCCCCACCCACTCTCTACCCTTTCTCGAGTCCCGCCTAAAAACTTTCTTGTTCGACCGCGCTTACAGCCACCTCCCCCCCACCTCCGGCTCGGAGCCAGGCTCCGCCACCGTTAAGCGCTCTGAGACGCTGTCCTGTGTGGAGGGCGCTGTATAAGTGTAAGTGATTGCTGCTGGTGTGGTTGTAGAGCGACAATCTCTTCAGTTCGGGGCGAATCTTTGACCTGGACTCGCGTTTACCCTGAAGCAGTTTAATCAAAGAGACTGACCCAGGTTCATCTCATTCTCCTCTTCATCCATGGGAATGATGTGAGTTCTTGGCCAATACTCCAGCAAGGCCTGAAGGAGAAGCCCTCCCAGGTTCACTGTAACACACAGGCAATCAGTCGAGTCACGGTTTAAGATATTCCTTTAAAAATAATTGAATCGATTCACCTCGGATTCAAATTCATCGTTAAGTGAAGAGATTTGAAATCCTCAAATTATTTTATTCACCGAGAGAGAGATTTGGACAAAGAACAATAAAAATAATCCTTGCATTTGGTACAGCGCCTTGTCACGGCGTGGATACAGGATACACTGTGAAGTGTGGCGACTGTATATTTTGTGGGCGAAACGCGGCAGCCAATTGCGCACAGCGGTGTACAATGCGGCAAACTTTTCCCTGGTTCTATTGGTAAGCTTAAACCCAACGGGGAAGGATGCAGACCACCCCGACAAACACAGCAACCATAAACAACTATCAATTGATCTGGATATATTCAGTGGACAGAGTAAAGGACAAAGATACGCTACCTCACAGTGCCAAGAGGGTATCATTTCCCCCCAAAAAACAGTTAGCTCGAAAGAGCAGAAAAGACTTGCCGGGTGTCAGCCCGGCTCTCGTCTACGAATCATAACCTGGGCCGACAGAAAATATTTCCACACGTTTCTGTCGATCCTGTCTGCCTGTTACAGTGGATATTAAACAGACCAAGGAACTGCCTGCCCGAAAACAGAAGGGAGTCTGACCAACAGACTCCCAGATAAAAATTGCTCATTCACTTCATGATGATTCGTGGGATAATAACGTGGGCAAATTGGCTGACTCCAACATACAGTCACTACACCTTAGTAAAATACTGTGAAGCGCCTTGAGACGTTCTCGCAATGCGAAAAGATGCTCTGTTATGTGCAAGGATTATTTCTCAGGTCATTGTGCGCTGCACGGCACGGGACTGGACCAATTCAATGCGACGAGCGTCACCTCTGCTCCGGGTTTGTAAGGAAATCCGCACTCGTCACACATGTTCTGTTTTACCTGACAAAAGGCCGAAAGTAAAAGCGCGAGAGAATCTAAAAGAAAGATAAGCCGTAGAAGCAGCTTAAGGAAACAATCAAGATATAGATTTTTCAGATAATGAAAAGGCCTCAGATCAAACGATAAATTACACGCGTTCGGCTAAAGTGTCAACTATTTGACAACAGGTTGGCTTTATTGGTGAACTTCTGAACTCCAGTGCAGCAGAAGATCAGTCTTGCTCCCACGCGCATCAGTGTCGGGGTTATTTATAATGAAAGGCTGCGTGTTAGCCCGGCAGATTGAACAACCGCAAACATAATAAATCGCTTGCCAGTACAAGCAGAGAGCGATCGAATGAGTTCTCATTACCTCTCAAATGTCCTCGGTCAACATAACAAAAAAAACTCGCTCCTTCACTGGGTCAAGCTCAGTTGACGTGGCGCACTCTGGGAACATGACTGCCATATTTCAAGGTGATTCCTCTTGCGAGAAAATCTATACAACAATTTAAACAGCCAGGGCAATGAACTCAAAGTATAGATTTTTTTTGTGTGTGTGTGTGTGTGTGCGCGCGTGTGTACGTGCGCCTCGAAAGAGAGGCGAGTTTCTGAGCTTGCTGCAGTCCCGAAATGATTCGCTGGCAATAAAAGTGTGACAGCGACAAAGCCAAATGAAAGGAATCACCCCGAGCGGAACCGCAGGGTCGTAATAATAATCCTTTCATTCGATACGGCGCCTTATCACGTCTTGGAGACGTCTCAAAGCGCTTCGCCAAATGTACTGTAAAGCAAAGGCAACTACAGAATTGACTGCATATTTTTTTGGTGAGCGAAACGCGGCGGCCAATTGCGCACAGCGGCGTCCCCACAAACAGTCGTGGATTGAAGTGACCAAATAAATTTTTTTTGTTGTTGGAAGGAATTATCACCCCCGGAAAAGCGATCCGCCAATCGACAAACAACCGGGTGCCTACTGGATAAACAGAGGCAGGCGCGTGTGTGTGTGGAGTAAGGAAACTTGCCCAATGTTTCGCCTTGCCCCCCTGGGAATCGAACCCGGGTCCTCCCGCTTGCGAGGCGAGGGCTCTAAATGGTAAGCTACAGGACTCCTTGCAGGATATGTTGTCATATACAGCATTCTTGGAGCCAACTAAGAAAAAAAGGAACTCTCCTGTTCTCTGGCAAACACGCTCTGCAAATGCTGAAAGCCTCGGTCACGCCCGACCTGTAACCACTAATTTGGAACTCGACAGCAGCCGATTGTTGTAGAGGTTTCCTAAAAGGCCAATTAAAGGGGAATTTGATCTTAACAACGTAGCTTTGGTGCACAAGAGAGCGGTAATGCAACAACTGATCAATTGTTCAGCCCTGAGACGCTGGAACATTCTTCCTCTAGCTCTCCGCCTTGCCCACACCTTCCTCATCTGCAGGTCGCGCCTGAAGACCTTTACCTCCCACCCTCACTGCCCCCCACCCCGGCTCAGCATCAGGCTCCGCCACTGCTGCTGTTGTCCACACAATTAATTCAACTCGAATGCCTTGAAACTGAATTTACTGTTTGGTTTGAGTCTGCTGGTGAGCTTACTGATCTGAGCGTCAAGTACCGTATATCTTTTGTGACTCATTTAACATTGCCTCTCAACCTACAGTAGTAAGACACTGAAACTACACTTCCCGTTCTGCAGTCACAACATCTTAGGATTGGCGAAGACGGAGAACTAAGGGCTAAATTATTGATTGGGGATTGGTGCTATAGGGAGAGATTGGAGAGGTGGACTCGATGGATGATCGTACTGAAATTTTCGTGATGCTAAAAGGTCTAGAAAAACTGGACTCCAATACCTTTTTGTTATGTTTAAGAGGTCACTCATAAGGGGGACATGTCTGCCAACCTTATCTGCCCATCTACCCGAGAGGCGTGATGGGCGCTATATGATTTAAGCTCTTGTCGTTGATGTCCAGGTAGGACCACCACACCACCGGTTAGGTTAACCCCGGAAAGCGATCCGCCAATCGATTAACAACTGGGTCGATTACGTACTGTTGGGTAAACAGAGACGTGTGGAGTAAGGAAACTTGCCTAAGGTTTCGCTCTGCCCGGGAACTGAATACCAGGTCCTCTCGTTTGCGAGGGGAGCGCTCTTACTAAATCGCTAAGGGATCCACAATTTCATGGAGTTAAACTGGACATTTATTGCTTCTTCGAAAGTGATAGGAATCTTCAAAGAGCAAAGGAGGCCAAAAATCACAAAAGCACCATTCGGGCTTGGAAATCAAAGCAAAGGCAACTACAGAAACCTGGAACCCACACAACAGGAAGCTGGCGCTATCCCAGAGCACTTTCTAATTGCCATTAAACAAGACGGTGACCAGACTCTGAGCATTAATGGCCTGTAAATTAAAAGCAAATTAACAAAAGATCCTCGGAAAATTGCAGTGTCATGTTTTAGGTGGTGCCATGAAAGGAAAAAAAACCACATGGTTAATTATTCATCTGTGCCACGGCTCAATAACAATGGTCTCCCTCTAAAAGGCCAACACTATTACAATAATATAACCCTCTTCGATGTAGCGCTTTGACGTGTCGTTGAGACGTCTCAAAGCGCTTCACACAATATACTGTAAAGTGAATTGATTGTGTGTTTTGTGAGAGGAACTTTATCACTCCAATGCTTTCATACCCCGCTTGACAAAAATCGACACGCGATTTGAGCAAAATGTCACACTGAACACCGTACCCAGAGCTCTTCAGTACAGACAACGGCCCAAAGGAAGCAGCTCGATTTTTGGGTCACGACTACTCTGTGGCCTCCAATCGCTTTAAACTGTACACGCGGAAGCCCAAAGTCTGATTTATGCCTGTGCTACCTTCCGCACCACCTTCTCAGAGCAGCTGCATTTTGGGCAATGAACATTGGCCCTGTCAGCTTGACCTATGAATATTTATTGCTTATTACAATGGACAATACCACAGCTTGCCTTTATATAGCGTCTTTCACCCAGGATCGCGTTGCGAGCACTGCTCAATGGCGGGGTTGGACACTGGGTGGGTGGGTTGGGGGGGGGGGCGGGTTTCACTACTTCAAAATGAGGGCACAGTTAGCCCAGAGGTCATAGCCCCAGTGAAGGGCGTGCAGACTGCTCCCCCTCTCCACCCCACCCCCCACCACAGGGACATAGGAACAGGAGTAGGTCATTCAGCCCCTCTAACCTGTTCCGCCACTCTATTACAACACGGCTGATCTGTACCTCAACTCCATTTACCCGCCTTTTCTCCATATCCCCTGATCCCCCCCAACTTGACAAATGTTTACCCACCTCCGTCTTGACAATGTGAAGAGCAATTTACTCTGCAAGTAACAACAACAACAACTAATGACACTTGCATAGCGTCCTTCACATCGGAAAGACGTCCCAGGGCGCTGGACAGTCAGGGGTTTCTGGGACCCGAGCTGGGAGTTGGGGTCAGGAGGGGTGGAGGGTGGTGGGGTGGGGTGGGGGTGGGTAGGTGTGGGAGATTGGCCAAAGAGGAAGGTCTTTAGACGCGATTTGAAGGATGCAATGGGGGGGGGGTTGCGGGGAGTGAGGTAGAAGGATTGCAGCCCCTCATCCTAACTGTCAAACTCGTGCTGAGAAGTTTACTAGATAACATACATCCTAAGTGAGGTTCAGCCTTACCATTAGCCACTTACATTTTGGATCAGAGCCATCCGGGCTGGAGAATCCGGCATCCTTAGCCGACACCCAGGCCGCAAAGCAGTCGCTCTCGTCTAAAGTGATTGTCAACATCTGTCAGGAAATAAAAAAAAACATGGAGACACAGGTCTGAGCACTGGAGCTATCAGATCAGCAGTGCTCACGAGACGGTTTTGCTTGCGTGTGTGTATATATAAAAAAAAGGAATTTTTTGTTCAGGATATATCTTGGCTGCTGGGTTTCCCGGGAATCCACGGGACATCGTTTCTCAATACACTTGTCGCTGTGACTCCAAAGCCTATCAATCATGTGCAGTGAACTTCATCGCCGTACAAGGGGCTGGAGCGTGACCTCACTTATCAACATCGATAGCAGCTGCCGACAGAAATGCAGAATAATGCTCCCGCACTCAACTGAACGACCGTCCGTGAGGATTGCCTTTAAAAGAAACGACGGAACGAACTCGAGAGCGGATCCGAGTCCGGTTCTGGTGGATTGCAATGCTGCTTAAGTCCCCCGGAACTACTTAGCAGCTCATGTCAACGCCTCAGTTAGACCACCACTGCTTTGTAATCATCCCCCGCTGGCTCTCTGACCCTCATGGTAACCCATCGTCAAGCTCAAGAGCAGACAAACTAAATAGCGACGAGTTACACACATACGCCCATTCCACATTCCCTGTGCCTCGCCCCCCGCCCCCCCCTCCCCCACCCGCCCTTTGCCTCCTTCAAGGCGCGACTTAAGACCCTCCTCTCTGACTGTGCCTTTGGGCACCCTCCTATCCTCCCTGCCCTCGAACCGCCCTTAACCCAACCCCGCGCCCCCCACTCCAATAAGGTCCTAATCCCTGACACTGTCCAGCGCCTTGGGACGTCCTCGCGACTTGAAAGGCGCTGAGTCAATGTCATTTTGCGTCGTACTGTGTAAGGTTTACACTTGTCTGGGATGTAATGCACGCCTTCTCCTCAGCGGGGAGCACTCGGCTTACCTAACCGTGGAGAATCTTAAGTGCAGGTTGGCAAGCGCTGAGGCTTGGGGACTTGAGAGAGTGCATTGGGGGCATCGCTGGAGTCTAACATGTTAACATTATCCAGCATTATGAAGACACTGGCAAGCTTCCCACTGCTGGTCTAGAGTCCCAGGATCGAGTCTGGCTGGAGACTACTGCTGAGGAGCTATTCCACTTGGTCTGACTCCAGCAGTACTTAGAGCTTCCCTTCTCCCTAAAGTCACATTATAAAATTAAAATTTCTTTGTGCCACAACCAGCTGGCACAGTCTGCCCTATGAACTCCCTCCACGTTTCCAATGGAAATGCATCCTCCTGGATTCTATTATTTTTTTCCGACTAGATTAAGAGCATTTTTTGAAATCATCGAACTGCATAAATTTCATTCTTATAATCACCTGCAGGCCTTGGAGTGGCTTCTCCCCAGGGTAGAAAAGATAATCCTTTTCCAAGATCAGTTCTGAAATGCTTATAGGGATTCTCGGTCAACTGATAAGGCAGAAAACGACAGCACAGGACCCAGCTTACCCCTGTTTTCAGATCCACAGAGAACCAGTTTGGCACGTACACCATTTTGAATCGTTTTTTGATTTCTTCTTCAAACTCGACTTTTCCAAGGTCTTCTACTTTGCAAGCCTGTCAGTGAAGACACATGCTGGTAAAAAGCACTCCAACATCCCAACTCAATAAGACTTCCTAGTCATAAAGCAACGGAAGGAATTTGGATTGAAGCAGCATTCGAAACGAAACCATTGCATCGTCCGTTAAGGGCCCAGCACGTCTCTCACACCTTGGGTCAGAAGGTTGTAGGTCCCACTTAAGGACGTTGAACTTACAGACTCGGCTAACACTCCAATGCAGTGCATCGCCAGTGCCTTGGGATGTCCTCCCCACGTGAAAGGTGCTACACAAATGTACTTTGTTGTCTAAGGTGACGTCCTTCCAATGAGACCTGAAACCGAGGTCTTGCCTTGCCTTTGCGAAAAAAAAAACTTGCCTCCACCACTCTCTGACCCCAACCTGTAGTTCGGGAGCAGGTTCAACCCCTCATTGTTCAGCGCCTTGGGATGTCCTCCCGACATGAAAGGCACTACATAAATGCAATTTGTTGTTGTTGTTGTCTACCTGCTCAGTTGAATCTTAAAGATCTTGTGGCACTTTTTTATATACTTCCTATTGTTTGAGGGACACTGCTATGTGCAATTTGGTTACCAAAATACATAGTCACTACACTTCACAGGATGAAGCTACAAGCTTTGATTAGTTGGGCATCAGCAACCACAATACCAGGGTCCCTGTGCTGAAATATCCTTGGACTCAGTGGCTTCAGAATGGGAAGCATTGACCCAACGCATACTTTGCGTGGAGTCCTGTAGCTCAGTGGTTAGAGCACTCGCCTTGCAAGCGAGACACCTGGGTTTAATTCCCGGCAGGTCAGGGCGAAACCTTGGGTAAGTTTCCTTACTGCACACGCCTAATAATAACCCCTCCAAAAAACGAAGCAATAATTAACTGGTCATCTTCAATCCACGACTGTTTGTGGGGACGCTGCTGTGTCCAATTGGCTGCCGCGTTTTGCCCACAAAATGTAGTCAATTCATTTTGCGGTATATTCTGTGAAGCGCTTTGAGACGTCTCGAAGACGTGATAAGGGGCTGTATCAAATGCGAAGATTATTATTATTATTATTGTTTATTGACCAAGTCAATAAATCCATCATAAAATCATTCAGGAGCTCAAACACAAAACCAACGTACATTTGTCTCGTGCCTTTTCGTGTAAAATAAGTCTCAAAAGAATCAAATCAATGCTCTTCACAAAGCCCTGACTGAAATCTGCACTCACCTTCAGCACGTCCCAAAATGCCACGTTGTTGTTTGTATCTTTGGTGACAATGTGCCTCTTGTCATTCAGGATGTTACACTGGATAATGCTCGCACCCCCTACGAGAGAGGGGAAACAGAAAAGTAAGCAGCAACACATGCTAGCATCGACAATAACCACTTGCATTATATTGCACCTTTCATGCAGGGAAGCAACTCAGAGCTGAACTGGCCCCAAGGTGACCTGCCTGGCAAAGGAACATCGGAATCGAGCCAGCCCTCTGTGACGGTCTCTGGTCCCCGGTTCCTGAGCCAGGAGGGGCCGCAGTGTCCCAGGGCACTCACGGCTGATGGCCGCCCAGCCCGGCCCTGGCTCATCCATCGGCAGGACCTGGAAGGGCCGACCAGTCACTGGGGGCAGGGAATCCTCCCCCTCAGCTCCTGTTAACCCCACAGCCAAAGCCCTAACTAACTAACTAACTAATGGGGAGGGTGGTCCTAGCTGGACAAGCAGCGGGAAAAGTTTGGCCAGACAGGAATATCAATGGCCGTGCTATGTGTGGTTTTAGCTGGTTAGATTCCAGCAGTTACCTCCAACGCACACTCTGGGCTCCCCCCAAGCCTTGGCTCTTGCCAACCTGCGCCTAATACTTTACGGAATTAGGTAAGCAGGGGGCGTCCCTCCAGGGAGAGAGCGCGGGATCATGAAGCAGGCCGGTATTCATGGAGGTCACAGAGATAGGGTAGTATGAGATTACAAAGATAAAGCAGGGTGAGGCAGTGGAAAGATTTAAAGGTGAAATCTGATCCCATCATTTACAGTTTTATTGCAAAACCAATAAATATTAATGTAGAACACAATGGAAATACTTAATCGCGATTAAAGTATGTGTACCTTTGATTACTTGCTCTGGCTGTGTGCAAAGAGGACTTAAGGGGACATTGCCGTCATTGTCGTAGTCCCCAGATGCCCTGAAGTTGTGAATACCTTTCATAGACTGAAAAAAAAGAGTTTGGTCAGTTGTAAAAGTGCTAATATAGATTGTATTGTAACTGTTAAATAAGACTAGTCGGGGCTTTCATCACTGCGTGTTTTGAAACCCCTGCATGTTGTGACACTGTTCTGACACTGTTCTTCAGTACAAGAAAAGGATTTTCACTAAAACTGGAGATCTTGCTCCCAAAACAACGAACAAGAGGGATAGGAACCCAGGAGAAGTTTTGAAGTATACATGCGCGTACAGAGAACACTCGTCTGCATGCACGCACCCAGGCACGTACACACACACAAACGTTTAAGCTTGGACTCCATGTTTTACTTGGGAGAATAAATTGCAAACCAGATCGCATCACAAAGCACTTGTTGATAAGGAGACTGAGGCAGTGTCGATCGAACGTCGTGCGATAGCACTTGACAGCAAGCACGTACCCGATTACCAGTGGACTGAATTTCAGGGGAATCCCACTACCGTATCTACAAACTACATCTACAGACTGCATCGCCTGTCCGGGAGAAATTGAATCGTGAGCAAATGACGAGCGTGCATTTCAAGCTGCGGCTTTAGATGTATAAACGCTAAAACCGTTACTTTACCCATTTATTCACTGACGACTTGGTGGTTGACACCCAGATAGCTGGAGCGGGGTCAGCTGATCTGTCGAGCTCCATCTGCCGATGAAAACAAGAGCGACGTATTAACAGGACAACCGGGACAAAATCAACTGAACCCAAGAGCACAGATACTTCCTTCCTAAATATCGTTCCCTAACCGCAAAATTATGACAGGGATTGCGGTCGCAAACACACTGGACTTGAGTCTCATGCTTTTGTTTCCTGGCTGATTGTGTGCACGCGTAAACGTGCATTGTGCAGTCTGCACCGATAGCAAACAAAACAAACTTGTATCTGAATTACTTCAACATCCTGCTCGCCAGACTTCCCAGCTCTTCCCTGCACTGAAGACAATCTAAAACTCCCAAACCCTGGTGGATGTCCTCTCCTAAACCAGGCTCCGCGAGCCTATCACCTCCATCCTTATATTCTGTGAAGCACTTTGAGATGTCTCAAAGATGTGTTAAGGCGCTATATCAAATGCAAGTGCTCTGGGATGCTACCCTGAGTGAGCGGTGCTGTGTAAATGCAAGTTGTTGCTGTATTAAATCTCGACTGAATGTCGCTTTATTCAGAACAAATGGGGAGATAGGGGAGAATACCTCTTCACTCCGATTGAGGGATCCAAAACAAGGGGACTTTCCAGGCTCAGGAACTGGACTACTGAGACTGTGACAGAGATTGACTCGATCACTGAGAGAGAAATTAAGGGCACATTAGATCTTTCCAATGCGCGCTACTTTCATTAATAGAACTTCCCTCCTGGTCATTTGCATACTGGGAACAGAATGCAACTCGGCCATTTCCCTCACCCTGACATACTAATGTTTTGTATGCTTGGAAATAATAATAATAATAATCCTTGCATTTGATATAGCGCCTTATTATGTCTTCCGAGACGTCTCAAAGCGCTTCACAGAATATACTGTAAAGTGAATTGACTGTGGGCGAAACGCGGAAGCCAATTGCACACAGCAGTGTCTCCCACAAACAGTCGTGGATTGAGTGACTAAATTATTCCTATTATTTTTTTAAAGGGACTGTTACCTCCAGAAAGTGATCTGCCAATCGACTAACAACCAGATTCCTCCTTATTGCTAGGTAAACAGAGGTGTGTGGTGTAAAGAAACTTGCCCAACATTTTGTCGTGCCTGGGAATCAAACCCGGGTCCTCTCGCTTGCGAGGCGAGTGTTCTGACCGCTGAGCTACAGGACTGAGCTACAGAAATGAACCATGGAATGTGACCAGAATGACACATGTACATCGTCATCTTAGCAGGAGGTCTGATCCTATCATACCTTGAGAACTGGTGCTTTTTCCTCACAAATCAGCACTCGGATGTCTGGGTTCCGCAGGTCGGTGCAGTAGATCTTTCGGTCTCGCCCTCCAGAGTAGACATGAGTAAAGGCTTCGTTGACCTGTAGAGCCCAAACTCCCTCGTCGTGGACCCTGTACGTTGCTATGCACCTTTGCTGCCCCAACGACCATAGCCGGATGGTTCCATCTGAGCTGCCTGACAAACACTAACAGGGAGACAAAACGGCGTCAAGAAATAGAATGGAAAGGGGGAGAAAAAAAAGGCAATGAACTTAGGAATTAAAACTAATACTTACAGTGATACCGCACGGGAACAGGAAATTTGTCCCAATTAGTCGGTGCCGGTGTTTACACTCTACCCCCCTCCTAATTCCTGCTCCCTCGTGTATGGATTAACTTTTCTCTTCAATACATTGATGCCATTTGCTTCAACGATCAGCAAGTTCCACATTCTCACCACCCTCTGCACGAAGAAGTTCCCCCTTAATTCCTCATTAGACCTATGTCTTAGCTAGCTTATATTTGTGGCCTCTAGTTCTGGACTCACATTTGACACAGCGCCTTATCATTTTCGAGACGTCTCAAAGCGCTTCACAGGATATACTGTAAAGTGAATCGACTGTATATTTTGTGGGCGATTCCTAAAGCGTAGGGCAACCCTTACGACCAAATTGTTAACGGTTGTTAACCACCCTCTGTGTAAATCCATTCTCTCAGCTCACACAGGCTTGCTGTGCATCCCCAGAACTCTCCATCATTGGTCGCTGTGCCTACAGCCACGATGCTACTAACTAACCTTTAGAACTCCCTGCCTCAATCCCACCGCCTCTTTATCTGCCTTTAAATCCCACGTGAAGATCTGCTTCTTCAACCAACTCTAAGGTCACCTCCCTCTCCTCATAGACCAACCCTGCCACGGTGCAGCGCTCGAAGCCGCTATCCGGCGCGAAGGGCACCGCGTCAATGCAAGTTGTTGTACTTCCTCGGTCTGTCTCAACAACGTCTTGAACTACCCTTAACCTGTGATCATTTGTGCTGCTGCTTTGGTGACCCTGGAAGTATTTTTGTGCGTTTCTCGCACTTCTCTACCTCTGTCCTTTTACAGTTTGTCCACTTTGAAGGCTTATCGTCGTCACAATGTGTCATGGCTGGATTTCAGGCTGGAATGAAACAAGTGAAATGTGCAATACCTGTGTTCCGTCTCTGTTCAACAGGAGTGCCTTCACGTTGTCTGTGTGTCCCTTAAGTTTCATCAGTTTTGCGCATGTCCTGGGGTCCCACACTCTCAAAACCTGTCAGCAAATAATCCCAGAAATCATCAACAACAACCTCACTTATAAAATACCCTCCACACAGGGCAGAGTCTCAGAGTGCTTAACAGTGGCGGAGCCTGACTCCGAGCTGTGGGGGGGGTGGCGGGCGGGCGGGGGGGGGCAGGTGGCCATAAGCACGGTCGAAGAAGTTTTCAGGTGGGACTTGAGAGAGGGGGCAAAGTTAAGGGACTGAGGGAGAGTGTTCCAGAGTTTGGGGGCGCAGTGGCTGAAAGCGCGACCTCCGATGGTGGGGCAGAGGGGGCGAGGGACGAGCAGGAGGCGGGTGCCAGTCGAGCGGAGGCGTTGGATTGGGGAGTGAGGAGGTCGGAGAGGGAGGTAGGGAGGTGCCAGAGAGTGAATGGATTTGAACACGAGTGTGAAGTCGATCCGTCTCCGGTGATGGGAATCACCGAATAATAATCCTTGCATTTGATACAGCGCCTTATCACGTAGTTGAGACGTCTCAAAGCGCTTCACAGATTATACTGTAAAGTCAATTGATTGTGTATTTTTCGAGTGAAACGCAGGCAGCTAATTGTGCACAGCAGCGTCCCACAAACAGTTGTGGATTGAGTGACCCCAATTTTTTTTAAAAGGGCTTATTATCCCCAGAAAGCGATCTGCCAATCGACCATCAACTGGGTTCCTGCCTGCTGAGAGGCAAACAGAAGTGTGTGGAGTAAGGAAACTTGCCTAAGGTTTCGCTCTACCCGGGAATCGAGCCCGGGTCCTCTCACTCGCAAGGACAGTGCTCTAATTAATAAGCTCTAGCTCATGTGTATTGGGACTAATGGCACCTACACATAAACAGATTAGGTATCTCGTCTCAGAATAGCAGCAGATTTTGGGTTGATTTTATAATCTTAAATTTGATCAACCAACTTCTGAGGAGATATTGCAATAGAAAAACCCTTCAGGAAGATAATCAAGAAAGTAAAGAGGTTTTGGAAAGGTGTTGAAATCATAGCAGATGAAAGACAAAGCTAATCCTTGCCAGTCATTTCATTTCACACAGCTTGACTCAAACAAAAGCTCCTTTTTTGTTTCAAGGCTCTGCTGACAGAGACGTCATGAAGAGAACTGTGTCCCTGAACAAGATGTAAAACTCTGCCTTCAGAAAGGCTAAGAGTATGATTAGTTCTGTCAGTCAAGAAAGAAAATGGCACATTTCAAGTAGGAAGCTCAATAATGTGGAGATTGCTTTTCTAACGAAGTTCTTTTTTAGATTCAATTAGCCTCCAAAAAGAAAACTCAGATTACCATGATCAATAACAACTATCAAGCACCACACTATAATGCAGCTGGTTCATCTTAGCAGGTCATGACGTAAATGTCAAGACGCATTTTAAGGCAGGTTATGGAAGTGTGTGTGTGTGCGTGGTCGGGGGGGGGGGGGGGAAGGAGAAAGAGAAAGAAACAATAAGATTTTCTTCTCAATTATAAATTACTAGATAAGGAGGGGCTGCAGTATCCCAGGGCACTCACTGCTGATGGCAGCACAGCCCGGCCTGGCTCATCGGCAGGACCTGGAAGGGCACACCAGTCACTGGGGGCAGGGAATCCTCCCCCTCAGCTCCTGTTAACCCCGCAGCCAAAGCCCTAACTAACTAACGGGGAGGGTGGTCCTAGGCTGGACAAGCAGCGGGAAAGCTTGGCCAGACAGTGCTCTCGATGGCCGAGCTGTGTGTGGGTTTAGCTGGTTAGACTCCAGCAGTTACCCCAACGCGCACTCTGGGCTCCCCCCCTTGCCACCTCTCCGACCTACTATCTCCCATGTACCTGCCCGTACCCTCCGTCCCTCTGGCTCCGGTCTGCTCCACATCCCCCGCCCCAACCGCCCTACCATCGGTGGCCTTCAGCCTCTCAGCCCCGAGGCTCTGGAACTCCATCCCCCAGTGCCTTCGCCGCTTCCTCCCTTTCCTCCTTCAAGTCTGGTCTGAAGACCTTTCTCTTCAGCCGTGCCTTCAGCTCCCCTCTCAACTCTCTACCCCCTCCTCGCTCCCTCCCTTCCCTCCCCTCCCCTCACCCTGACCATTCCCCCCCTGCTCGGGTCCCGACCCAACTGTCCAGCGCCTTGGGACGTCCTCCCGATGTGAAAGGCGCTCAATAAATGCAATCTTGTTGTTGAATCTTGTTGTTGCCAACCCGCCCTAATGCTTTCCGGAATTAGGTAAACAGTGTGCCTCCCTCCAGGGAGAGAGCGAGAGCGCATTCCATTCCAACAATCTATCTCTGCGGTTTCCATGTGTAGGTGGGACGCACGGAAACATCAGCTTGGTTTGGGGACTTAAGCGACGCTAACGGGTTTCCGTGTGCGGCAGGCACCCGGCTTGGCAAAAAAAATAAGGTTCTCACCTTTTCAGTGGATCCAGAAACTATTACTGTTCCCATCTGGTTCATGGCAAGGCTGTAGATGGAGTCTTTGTTCCCACTCAATGATGATGCTGTTACAGAAAAAGAGGCTAACAGTAATGACAGTAATAACAGTGAAACGATTTCAAAGCAAAAACTTCCTCCTCCCCCCCCCCCAACCTGAATGATATATTCGGGTGGGGGGGGGGGGAATCCACACCCTTTAAAATGCAGAGCACGAGAAAGGAAGCTTTGCTGTTTTGTTGAACGTACACAGGAAGGTTTATTACACCAAAAACTCGACTCGATCTCAATGTAACGGATGAACAAGCAGTCAAATGTCAGCCAACACGACGCATCAGAAGCTCATTTTGACAAGAGAAAGAAATTGCATTTTTATTGTGCCTGAGACGTCAAAACGTCTCAAAGAGTATCACAGTCATTATTGCTGCCTGTCGCGGCCGTTCTTTGTAGGCAAATGGCACATTGTTTTACACACAATGATATCCCACAAACAGGCATGAAGTGAATAGCAATTAGTCTGTGGGGGAGGAGGGGGTGGGGGGTGGTGGGGAAGGAAATGGTTGGCCATTGGACACAGGGGGGAAAAAAAAATCTCTTTTCAAACGGCGATAACAATCATACGTATACGGACCTCTTGGCAGTTTGGTTTGGAGACTTCTAAGCACGGGTGTCAGGTATAAAAACTTTAAAGAAACATTTTGGGAGCATTAGCGGCAACAGTTTGGCTTTGATTCAAAATCCCAACCGCAGGGATAAAAGGATAAAAGTCCTTTACTAACAACTTTTTTTTTTTGAAGGATTATTATCGCCGGGAAAGCAATCCGCCAATTGACTAACAATCGGGTTGCTATTTTACTGCTAGGTAAACAGAGCTGGGCGGAGTAAGGAAACTTGGCCCCAACATTTCGCCCCGTCCGGGAATCGCTTTGAGCACTTTGAGACATCTAGAAGATGTGAAAAAAAGCACTAAATCCAATGGATTATTTAACTGCACTTCCAGACCACCAGCACATTTGCTCCATCTTTTAGATGCACTAGGAAGGAAGGACAAGTGATTATAACCCTTCGCAGCCCCTAAATCTGGAGTCCCGTAACTCAGTGGTTAAGAGCACTCTCATCGCCAGCGAAAGGACCTGGGTTCGATTCCCGGGCAAGTTTTCTTACTCCACAGGCTTCTGTTTACCGAGCAGTAAGTATAGAACCTGGTTGTTAGTCTGTTGGCGGATCGCTTTCTGGGGGAAATAATCCCTCCTAAAAAAAAGGAGGGTGTTCCCTGGTATCCTAATGAATGCTTATCCCTAATCAGAATTCACCACAGAAAAATAAATGATTATCTGCCTCATCATTCTTATTATTAATTATTCCTCATTATTATCGAGATGCTGATGGTGCAAATTTGCTGTTGACTTTTTACTCTGTAACGAGTTACGACACTTCAAAGTAAGTGAAAACTGCTTCACAACTCTCTACAAATTACGTTTGCAGTTCCTGATCATGTAGAAATGTTCAAAAGTGTGAACCACAACTTGCATTTGTGTTGGGTAGTATCCCAAGGCGCTTGATGATAATGTGCTGCAAGCATTAATATGTAGACTCCCATTAATATATAGGATTTGAAAGCTAGATTGACCCATCATTTTAGCATTGTGAAGTACTGTAAATCTACCTGGGTTCGATTCCCAGACCGGGCGAAACATTGGGCATGTTTCCTTACCCCACACACCTCCGTTTACCGAGCAGTAAGTAGGAACCCGATTGTTAGTCGATTGGGGGAATCGCTTTTCCGGGGATAATAATTCTTCAAAAACAAACAATAATAATTTGGTCACTCAATCCACGACTGTTTGTGGGGACGCTTCTGTGCGCAATTGGCTGCTGCGTTTCGCCCACAAAATATGAAGTCAATTCACTTTACAGTATATTTTGTGAAGTGCTTCGAGACGTCTCGAAGACGTGAAAAGATCTAATATCAAATGCAAAGATTATTATCGATTATTATTATTATTTTGAAGACTGGTATATGACCTCTCAGTTCTATGTAACATGAAACCTCAATCACTTTAGTTTACATTTCAAATCCAATTTCTCCTCTCCCAAACACACACACACACATTTACAATCAGACTTACTGGTGACAGTGTTATTTGAGGCTGTCAGTGCTGTGAGAGTATTTACATCCCAGAGGAAAATCTGCCTGTCCAGTCCTGCTGAAGCCACCAACTCTTTATCTTTCGCATAAGCTAGTGCCTTCACGTAATCCTATGCCAGGGAATGAAAGAGAAAGACTTAGGCTTCGATCAGTTTGAAAATAAAACTTCACACAACCCACAAGTATATTCCAGTCTACCATAAGCTATCCACCTTTCTTCAGGCTGTTTGCCATCAATATCAATGCTTTCACTGCACAAGATTGCAGACGTTCAAAATTTATATTGATCGGATGTGAACATGGGAACTAGAGGAGGCTATTTAATCCATTGATAACTCCCCGTTTCTATCTGTCAACCAGACGTATTAATAAGGCTGATCTCAACAACTGGAAAACTGATGGAATCAATCACTTTACAGTGTATTCTGTGAAGCGCTTCGAGGCATCTCAAAGACCTGATAAGGTGCAATGTGGAGAAATGTAAAGCACTTCACATGGGGATAAAAAATCCTAGAAAGGACTATTATTTGAACGGAAGGAAAATAATATGTATGGAAAATAAAAAGGATATGGGGGTCCTGATTGACAATAAATTGAAGCTCTCCCAACAATACGCTGTGGCAGTGAGTAAAGCAAACCAGATGTTGTGATATAGCAAAAGATCAATAGAAAGCCAAAATAATCCTGCCACTGTATAAACCATTGGTGAGACCGTATTTAAAGTACTATGCACAGTTCTGGTCGCCGCAGTACAAAATGGATATTGGAGAAATGGAGAAGATACAGAGGAGGGCAACCAGAATGATTGAGGGAATGGAGGGACTGGACTGTGAGGAGCCACTCAGTAAATTGGACATATTCACGCTGGAAAAGAGGAGATTGAGAGGCGACATGATTGCTGTCTTTAAGATTGTAAAGAGGCGAAACAATCTGGATCATGACGGGCTGTTCCAACTTGTCCAGTTGGAAACCAGAGGCCACGGCCGGCGATGGAAGGGGGTGAATTCAGAACGAATCTACGCAAGCTCTATTTCAGTGAACGAACCTGTGGAACAGGCTCCCTCGGGAGACGGTTGAAGCAGGAAATGTTGATTCTTTCAAACACAGCTTAGATTAGATTTATTTTAATTATGGGATATAGTACAAAGGGAGTTTGGGACATATGTGAAGGTGACAGCAGGAAGGTGGAAGGCGAATTAGATGGATCTCGGTCTTTCTTCGACTAGCATTTCTTATGTTCCTATGTTATGTTCTTATATCAAATTCAAGGATTATCAGTATAATAACAGTGGAAAGCTTTGTGAACCTTACATCCAAAGTTGCCTAGATCTTCCAAGCATATATTAATGCGACCTAATGATCCGGAAGTTGTCCATTTTAGCGTGAAAAGCAAGTCAAAGTGAGCTGACTGTGCATACTGGCTGTTAATGCACTGCATCATTAGTCAATTTGCGCTGTATTGAAGCAAGTCATTGTAGGGCTGCACTGTATTTACTATCGAGAAGCACAGAAATGTACGACACGGTGGAAGGCCATCAGCTCATTTTTGCTTAGTGTTGGCTCCAAGTAGCAGCCAACCATCCTAATCTCAATTCCCTGCTGCTTCCCTACACCGAATACTGTGCGCAATTGGTTGCCGCGTTTCACCCACAGAACAAACACTCACTCCACTTTACAATCTATTCTGTGAAGCGCTTTGAGACATCTGAACGACGTGATAAGGCGCTAGATCAAAAGCAAGCATTATTCTTATTGTTAATACTTTTTCCTTAACATGTCCCTGTCCAGTTCTTTTTTTTAAATCCACTTTTCCCAGACAACCGTGAGAATAATGTTAGTAACAACTCAAGGGTCATAAAAAAAATATCCATCGGGACGGCTGATTTGAAAGTCAAGCCAATAATTGTCTATAATAAATACAGCAGTTTCCTGAAACTATTAAAACTTTCATTCTTCCAGTTAACAGTATTTAAACGGCAAAACAAGTATAAATGATTGGCACATCCCGCTCATTAGTTTCACAAAATACGGCAATTGGGAGTGGACATTGAACGTGCATAGGACCATAAAATAGGAGGAGACTATCCAGATGACTAAGCTTGTTTGTTCTGCCTCTTTATCAGATCATGGCCGTTCTCTTAATCCCATTCTCTTGTCTCTTCTCCAAATCCCCTGATGTCTCTCCTCCAAGCATCTATCGACCACCCTTTTAAATTGATGGCATATCGTCATTAAACGCTTGAATCACTCCTAATTTCAACAGGATACTCTCTCATTAACAGAGAAATTTAATACCACACAAATCTGGTGGCTGGCAATGGCGGGGGGCGGGGGGGGGTGGGGGGGAGGGGAAGCAAACATTTGTATGATGCTGAGAAATACAATGATTTAGTCTTCCTTGAGTTTACTCCTCTCCCCTGCCGTCCAAGCACCTGAAACGGTTTGACTCTCTTTCCTGTTCTACTAGAGTACAAATCCACGGTTGCTATTTGATACGTCTCAAGTAGCTATTAATCATGCGCGAGGCTTGGCAGGGAGTGTTGGCCGTCTAGTTGGCATCAGAGCTGAGCCGTTTTCCGTCCTCACCTGACATGGCATCTTCCAGGGGCGGTGGGTGGTGGTGTGGGAGTGTGTGTGTGTGTGTCTAGAAGTACGAAACCTGTCTGAGCCTCTTTCCTAATGTGCTGAGGCCCCAATTACTTCACCCCAACTGACGCGGAATGTCTTTACTTTCTCACTAGGCTATCAAGAAGTGGTCCATTCTCATTCTTATACTAACCGGCATTCCTTCACTCAGCTCCCTTTAATATGTTTCCCTATTTGGCACTGATTTCAAGATCCTCACCCTCGTTTTCAAATCCCTTCGTGCCCTGGTTCCTCTCTACCTCCCCGACCTGCTTACCACCCCCCCACCCAACTACCCGTTGCTTCCCCTCGACTGGCTCCAGCCTCCTGCTTGTCCCTCATGCCCTCCCTTCCACCATTTCAGCCCAAAACTCTGGAACACTCTCCCTCAATCTTCCCCCCCCTCTTGTCCCCTTCCTTCCCCATCTTCAGGTCGAAGCCGATTCTCTCCGACCGTGCCTACGGTCACCTCTCCCTTCCCCCTCGGAGTCGTGCTCTGCCGCTGATAAGCGCTTTGGGACCCTTCCCCGTGTGAGGGGCGCTGTGTAAATACAGGTCATTGTTGCATTACCGATGAAACTGACGATTACCTTATGAGTCCGCAACGTAGACATACAGAATCCTTTGTGAGCATTCCACACTTTCACTGTAGTGTCAGATGATGCGGATATTACTGCAAAAAACACAAAAAGGTCATTTTGAACACCACAACATTCGGCAAATAATTTAGAATTTATTCAATCAAATGCGCTGAGGATCTTTCACGGGATCCTTTTCACCGATCTTTCATCTCCCGCCGTCTGGAGGTGAACACAATGTCTCCTCGGAGCTCTCCAGGCTCCAAGGGGACATGCCTGGCAATGGAATGTCGGTATTGAGCCCCCCCCCCCCCCCCCCACCCCTCGCCCCACCTACATCTGTGCCAGTCTCTAGTCTGGTTCCTGAGCCAGGAGGGGCTGCAGTATTCCAGGGCACTCACTGCTGCGGACAGCACAGACCGGCCTGGCTCATCGGCAGGACCTGGAACTGGGGGCAGGGAATCCTCTCCTTCAGTTCCTGTTAACCCCGCAGCCAAAGCCCTAACTAACTAACTAACGGGGAGGGGGGTCGTAGCTGGACAAGCATTGGGAAAGCTTGGCCAGACAGCGCTCTCGATGGCCGAGCTGTGTGTGGGTTTAGCTGGTTAGATTCTAGCAGTTACCCCAACGCACACTCTTGGCTCCCCCCCCACCCCCCACAAGCCTTGGCTCCCGCCAACCTGCGTCTAATACTCTCCGGAATTAGGTAAACACTATGTGTCCCTCCAGAGAGAGAGAGAGAGAGAGAGAGCATTCCATTCCAATAAATATCTCCAGGGAATTTCCATGTGTAGGTGGAATGCGTGGAATTCTCAGTTTGGTTTAGAAACTCTTAAGCACGGTGATGTGTCTCACCACGTGTCAGACACCCAGTTGACTGAAGAAGTCTTTATTCTGCCAAGATATTACATACGAATATATATACAAAATACAGTTAATCCACTTTATATACTGTGAAGTGCTCAGAGATGTGATCAATAAAAAATAAATGATACATAAACAATAAATGATGAATGACGTGATATATACATATGGGTGTGTAGTACACATAAATCGCTTTCCTGTGGTAATGTTCCATTAAAAAAACAATTTGGTCATTCAATCGATGACTGTTTGTGGAACACTACTGTGCGAATATACTGTAAAGTTAATTGACTTCGCAGTATATTCTGTGAAGCGCTTTGAGATGTCTCAAAGACGTGATAAGACGCTATATCAAATGCAAGAATTATTATTTTATTATACCAAATCCAAGGATTATTTATTATTTATATATTCCGTACCAAATTCTTGTAGGAGTCCTTGCTTTTATTTTTTACTGGCCAGTTAGTAGCTTGACTGGATACTTTCTGTGAATAAAATGTGTCTACCCTTTCTCGTCAATCAATATAATACTCCCAGTGGAGTTCTACAAGCACATTAACTAGACTTTTTCTAAAGGACTAAAAGCAATCTAAAAGGAATTATGGATAAGAGGTTTCCAAATGAAGATTGAATTTATTATACAAAAGTCTGAACCCTGTTTGCGGCTGTATCAGCCTTCTCTACCTGCAGTCCCACTTTTAATAAACAATGTATTTGAACTTCACATCCCTCTGTTCCTCCACTGCGCTGATAAAGCTATCACTCACTCTCAATATCTCATCAGAACACAGGAACAAGAGGAGGTCATTCAGCCTCTCGAGCCTGGCCCGCCATTCACGACTGATCTGGACCTCAACTCCAATTACTGACAGAAGTCTCAGTGACAGGAGCTGAAGTTGATGCAAAAAACTGTGCATAAGCATACAGTGTTATAGTCTGGGACACGACATGTCAAGTGACTGCCAGGATAGTGGAAAGTGAATGAGATGGGCTTTGGTCTTATTTCGCCAGAAAATTCTTATGTTCTTAATGCAGATTGAAGAGGAGACCTGGCAGAGGTGTTCAGGATTATGAAAGGATTTAATAGGGTGAATGTTGATAGGCTGTTTCCGTTTGTTGATGAGCCCGTCAGGACATAAATCTAAGCGAGTTAGTGGTAGATCTATTAGGGAGTTTAGGAGTAAGTTCTTCGTGCCGAAGGTGGCGAGACTGTGAAACTTACTGTTGGAAGCTGCGGTGAAAGCAATAGAAAATGTATTAAAGAGAAAACCTGATGCATACATGACAGAGAAGGGAATAGAGGGGTTTAGATGAGAGGAGGATTAGGAAGGGGTTCTTGTGGGGTTTAAACACTGGTGTGGACTAGTTGGGCTGAATGGCCTGTTTCGAGTGGCCTATATAGCGCCTTTCGTGTCAGGAGGATGTCCCAAGACGCTGAGTCCCAAGTATCCTTCTTGTAACACAATCACTGAAATGTACTATTTAATGATATTTATTTTACTCACGGGTCTTTCCATTGCAGCACAACACCACGTCGTTCACCCAGTCCGTGTGGTGTTCCATAGAGGCAATGTAAGGGTCTTGCTGCAGGAAGGAAACACACAATCACAGGTGTTAAAAACATCTCGTCTTGATCAACCCTCCGTGTCCACCTTATTTCGAACCTGTTTATATCAACAATATACTCTTAAATGACTATCTTTTTGAATAAAATAAGTACATAAGAACATAAGAATTGCTAGACGAAAGAAGAACAAGATCCACCTTCCACCAACAAGTTTGCCTTCCACCACCGCTTGCACATGTCATGTGCCCCAAACCATAACCTGCATCCCATGATATTATTGACTAACAGAAATCTATCTCATTTGTTCTTGAAAGAATCAACACTTTTGATTGTTAATACATAGAATACATGTTGTTAAAAACATGTCAATACAGTAAATGGTACTGAAATTGCAATCATAGTAGATGAAATATTTGTAAATAAATCTTACAGCTAATCTAATGACAGTATTGTATATGAAATACATGTAAATAAATCAGTCAGCAATTTATAAGATCAGTGCATGTGCCTGCGTTGTTGTTTTGATTATGCTGCTCATGTCGATAAAATTCAAATGGTCCCCAACATGTCGACATAGATAGGTGGGACTGTAATAGAATCTGCATTGTTTCTGCAATTTGCACTTGCATAGCACCTTTCAGGTTAAGATACATGTCTCAAAGCACTTTACTGGGGAACACTCTGCAGGGAGGAAAGGAGGTAGAATTCAAGCCAAAGGTTCGACCACTAATGGTGGGATGGCGGGAGTGAGGAAGAAACAGCAGATCAGATGCGAAACAGCATAGGGCAGGAGAATAGGGCTGAAGAAGACTGTCCAATCCAGGAGTCCCTACGACTCGCCCCTTTCAAGGTCTGCCTCAAGACCTTCCCCTTTGAATGCGCCTTCGATCACTGTAAAGTAAGATTGTTTAGTAATTGGACTGTTCCAATAACAGTAAACCAATAATAATCGGACCACAGGAGCTTAATAACCAATAAAATGTATTACAAAGTTATACAATATTCCCAATGCTTGATTCTAAAGGAGTCGTACCAGTAACCCTGTAGAAGCTTCCAGGAACAAATAACGCTGGAGAGAAGAACTGGGGAGAAAAACTTCTTATAAACAATCTCGTTATCAGTACCACTCTATCTAAAAGCAGAAAGTGTGAACACGGGTAGGATGGTCATCTCTGTCAACAGATTTATAAGCAGCTCGAAATGTGAAATTTCTCTCTCGACTGTACAATTGGATAATGTGTGAAAAGCTTGGGTGGAAAATTACACTGTACGCATCAATCTGCTGACAGTAAACATCACACGTGACTGGTGGAAGGTTATTGCAAAAACAACATGTCCTTTTGGTTTATTACATTATAAATTAAATTAGCCATGAAACTATGATTAGGGATCCAAGCAAAGGGATGGTTTAATATATACTGTTGCAAAGCCTGATAGAAAATCATAGAAACTGCAGAGGCTCTCAGAGCAAGCTGTACTTTCAACCCCACTGCCCCAACTATTCCAGGACCCTTTAATAATAATCCTTGCATTTTCATATAACGCCTCATCAGGTCGTCAACACAGAATATACTATAAAGTGTATCTGTTTAGCTGTACATTTTGTGGGTGAAACTCAGCAGCGTTATGGATTGAGAGACCAAATTATTTATTTATGAAGGGATAATTACCCCCTGAAAAAGCAGCCCAATCAACAAACAACCGGGTTCTTGCTTGCTGCTAGGTAAACATAGGTGTGTGGAGTAAAGAAACTTGCCTAAGGTTTCTCCCCGCCCCGGGAATCGAACCCGGGTCATGCTACCATACGGGCCTCCAATTCAAGCCTCCATCTTGCATGCAGGTAGGTGACCGTAGGCACGGTTGAAGAGGAAAGTCTTCAGGTGCGACCCGGAGATGGGGAAGGACGGAGCAAGGCTGAGGGATAGAAGAGTGTCCCAGATGTTTGGGGCTGAAAGTCTGGCCACCAATGGTGGAACGGAGGAGGGCACAAGGAACAAGGCACAAAGACCTGGTAATATGACTCTTAGCTTACCGATATTTTCAGAACAGATTCTAAATATATGATAGAATTTCAAGTTCTCAAATTCCTACTTTGTCAGAAACAGAGCGTTGTTGAATTAGAACCCCCCCCCCCCCCACCCCCTACCCACCCACCTTGTGTTGGTTGACACTCCATATCCTGATGATGGAATCTCGACCGGCTGTAAACAGCCTGTTTAATGTTGGATCAAGCTGAAGTGCATTCACCCCGTTGCGATTATATTTCTCTACTTCATCTCGAATGACGTAAGACACCTAAAATTGAAAGAAAAAAAAACTGTGAGTAAGTTGGCCACACGTTCAAAGGCATAATAATAATAACAGCAAATCACATTTACGCAGCGCCTTTCACGTCAGGAGGACGTCCCAAGGCGCTGGACATCCAGGGATCCGCACCCGAGCTGGTGATTGGGATCAGGAAGGGGGTGGGGGGTGGAGAGGGTAGGGGTAGGAAGGTGACCGAAGGCACGGTCGAAGAGGAGGGTCTTGAGACACACCTTGAAGGAGGCAAGGGAGGGTGGGGTGAGGCGGAGGGACTGTGGGATGGAGATCCAGAGGGTGGGGGCAGAGAGGCTGAACTTCAACAGTAAGCCAACACCTAAAAAGAGTGCAGCACAGCCACTGCCAACATTTTGAGGTGCACTGAGATGGAGCGATTTCCTCTTTTGAAAGCTGGGAGTTGAATGCAAAAGAAAGTGGTCGATAACAATCCTCACATTCGATATAAGTGCATTTCACATCAGGGGGACGTCTCAAAGCACTTCACTGGATTTCCTGTAAAGCGTAGTGACTGGCAAGTACTGCTGGTCACACCAATAGATTAGTCACTACACTTCACATTAAAGTGCACACTTTACAGTAGAGTGTAGTGGTGCATTGGTGGTGATTGCCGCACAGAACAATCCTTTTTTTGATCTCTTAGAATCATTATTACTCTGTCCCTTCATATTTCTGTCTCTGTGCAACGGCTGCATTTCTATTTCCCAGAGTCTCTTCCCTTTCCTCCGCAGCCCCTTATGTGCGAACGAGCAACTGGTAACAAGAGGAAGCGGTTGTAGATTCAGTAAACACCCGACTGACCGCGGGAGGCAGATAATTGAGCGTGTGTGAGGCGGGCAATCACACGAGCAATGATGGGCGACAGCCAAGGACACAGAGATTCTCGAGTGGGAAACAAATGGTGAAAATGGGCTGATGGGTGGTCTCTTGTTTTTGCACAGTAAGCACAGACACTGATGCAAACAGCTCCCGATGGCAGTGCAAAGGTTTAACCCATTAAGCACTCGGCAAACTGTAATTCAGTGAGGACGCAGCCTATCTTCTTAGGTTTCAGAGTGGGAGTCCTGTAGCGTATTGGTGAAAGCAAGCGAGAGGACCCGGGTTGGGTTCCCGGACTGGGCGAAACCTTTAGGCAAGTTTCCTTACTCAATTGCCTGCCCTGTTTCGGACGCAAAGTCGATTCAATTTACAGTATATCCCGAGAAGCGCTTTCAGACGTCTCAATGTGATAAGGCGCCATATCAAATACAAGGATTATTATTATTAATTTCTTTTCAATGAAAACGATCCTGAATTTTTAAAAAGGTCGGTTTCTCTCTTCTCCACACCCCCCCCCCACCCCCACGCACCCCCACCACTCACTCCTTCGAATACGAATCCTTGCTTTGGATACGGCAAACAGCAAAGCGTCTCAAAAACGCTTCACGGGAAATTGCTGTCAAACGTAGCAGCTGTGCCAATTTGTGCACGGCAAGACTCTACAAGCAATCATGAAGTGAATGACGATTTAGTCTGTATTGTTGACCAGGATGTTGAAAGAAACTCGCTTCTCTTCTGACGGCAAATACAGATTTTCTTTGAAATCAAACGGTGGTCTTCCCTGCCTTCTGTATCCGTCCTTATTGAAGAGATTTGCAATTACAAGCGCAATAGAGTGGCTATTGTGTCCCACGCTACAGGGTCACGCTGATACAGACAAGGATAAATATCTGAGTGTGTCAAGAAACACCGATTAGTGACAGGCACCAATCGAGTGAAGCTGACAACTTGACAAAAGGAAGCTGATTGCTCTTGAAGCTGGTTAGGCAGCGGGGTTAGGTCAGAACGCAGTGACAATAACATTAAAACAAAATGTAAGGAAGGGAAAGAGGTTTAAGAAAAACTGTAGGAAACGGGGGACTTGCGACTTCAGGCGAAGCAATTTTAAAAAGAAATTTCAATTGCGATTGTTGTATTTATTCCAGCGTGTTCAGGTGGAGGTAAAATTAATTAATTCTGTAACATTAGGATTCAGGGCGCGAGCTGAAAATGAGACATCAGTCCCGCGAGACGTGCTGGCAGGAGAGGTTAATCGCATTTTTAAAAAGAAATCACTCCGGGTGGATGTGGTGCTCGGCAAGGTGAAAGATGTCAGCACTTGGAGTGAGAAGCTTCATTCACATTTGTCTCCCACCGTCAGCATCAAACACTGCCAGATGAGGAAAAGCACAGTGAACCGAAAGTAAAACTCCCGCTACGCTCTGTTGCTCCCCACTCAAATCTGCTCGAACTAAAACTTCAGGTGAACGGTCTCTACTTCCATCCAGAATATCTGTTTCTGCCTCAATTATTGCTGGAGCTTTTCTAACCTTGCGGCCAATTTATTTCACACAGAACCTGAGAGAGACCGCTTCCGGACAGATAATAACAGTAATCCTTATCACGTTGTTGAGACGTCTCAAAGCGCGACACAGAATATATTGCAAAGTGTAGTGACTGCGTATTTTGTGGCCGAACCGCGGCAGCCAAATTGCACGCTAGCTGCGTCCCCACAAACAGCTGTAGGTTGAGCGACCAAATTTTTAAAAAGGGATTATTACCCCTCGCAAAGCGATCCGCCAATCGACTAACAACCAGTCCAACTAACTGCTGGGTAAACAGAAACAGCTGGAGTCAGAAAACTTGCCTAAGGTTTTTGCCCCACCCGGGAATCTAACCCTGGTCCTCTCGCTTGCACTGCGGGACTCCAGAGCTGTGTGGGATTAAGTAAATAGCTCTTTCGTAGCAACGCTGAGTTGCATAACCTTCTTTTGCTATAAAATTCTACGATTCTATGAAACAGCAATGCTCACAAATCTGAATTTGTAAGTTTTGAATTTAGAGATGGCAGACGCGAAGTTAAACCTGGGTCCCCAAAGGAAAAATAAATACTCTGACCCAATCCCTTTCACCTCACTATACTTAGGTAAAATCCTATATCTTAGCGGTCAGAGCACTCGCCTCGCAAGTGAGGACTCGGGTTCGATTCCTGGCAGGGCGAAGCCTCAGGCAAGTTTCCTTACTCCACACGCCTCTGTTTACCGGCAGTAAGTAGGAACCCGGTTGCTACGTCAATTGGTGGATCGCTTTTCCGGGGGTAATAATCCCTTCAAAAATAAATTTAAATAATTTGGTCACTCAATCCACGACTGTTTCACCAACAAAATACACGATCAATCCAGTAATATTTACAGTAATACCTGTGAAGCGCTTTCAGATGATGTGATAAGGTGCTATATCAAATACAGGGACTATTATTGTTAATATGATTATAATAAATTCATGAAGACTTAGTCAAAAAGCTTCATTATTCTGTAACACACTTGGAAAGAGAAAAGGGTTTATTGCATCTTGGGGACCATTCAACTTGCATGAAATATTGATCAAAATAAGTTCAGTCTTGTTTTGCCAGTTGCTTTCAAACCACCCCAGGCGTTTCAAGCCTGCCAGTGCTCCTTTGGAAGAGATGTGTGATTCATACGTGTAGGAAAGAGGTAACAGGTATCCTTGTATTTCGATCAAAAGATCCATAATGTCAAAAAACTTTCAAAGCCAATTTTTCTCTTTCCACCCCGTGTCGCAGAGCTATGAAGAGTTTTTGACTGGTTTCGCCTTCACGCATTTATGATTCAAATGACAGGCGACTGCTGCCGAGTGTGGTAACTTTCTGGGACTTGAGCTCTCTGGGACGCTACCCTGCATAAGGTGCGCTCTATAAATGCGAGTTGTTGTTGTGTGGGCGAATGCAGCAGCCAATTTTGCGTAGCAGCTCCCACAAACAGCCATGAAGCGGCTGATCAATTCATCTGAATGATTGTCGGTCGAGACAATGGGAGAAATTGCCTAACTTTCCTTCGCTGGTGAGGTGTCTGCTTTAGCGAGTTTGAGATTTGCGGTCAACCATCGGCTTCAAAGGGCCAAAAGTATGGCCTGGCGGGTAAGTCGCCTTCATTACTGAAGTGCTCACAAAACAAGGTTCAATCTGTACTACATCAACAACTTGCATTTATATATAGCGCAGCGACCCTCAGAGCAGGTTCGTTTGGCAGGGACGGAGCACAGTGCCGAGCCGGGAGGAAGTGACCGTGGGCACGGTGGTAGAGGAAGGTCTGCGGGGGCGACCTGAAGATGGGGAAGGAGGGGGGGGAAAGGCCGAGGAATAGAGGAAGAGTACAATATACTGTAAAGTCCCTGTGTTTATAGAGGCCATTTAAATTGAAATGCGGTATGATTTGAGGAGACAGATGACACAACAAGGATGGAATTTAGCGCCATTTGCGGCAGATCATCCCGATTACACCTCCAGTTCTGTAATCTTTTTTTAAATATAAAACAGTTTGTTCAGTTAAACTCCGGGATGGATCAATGCAGGTTGAAATATCCATTTTGAGCAAAGTACACTTGGTGAAACCCGACAACAGATAATGCCCAAGCCAGGTTTTTAATGAGGTGTAACCTGAATGTTATATACCAGTTCAGTTTATAAATCTTTGGTTTCGAGCAGCGTAAAAGCACAAGTCAGACTTTTACGCCAATGCAAAGAATCCACTGGATTAAAACGGATCTAAAACATGTACACCTGCATTTCTTTTGTTTAAAAAAAGCTAATTCAGAAGAGAATGTATTTTTTAAAAAACAACTCTATGCTACTTTAGCTCTTTGATGATTGAATAATATATAACCTCTTTTGCGTAATATCACAATTTGAGACTTCTCAAAGCACTTCACAGAATATACTGTAATTGACTGGACATTTTGTGGGCGAAACGCAGCAGCCAATTGCACAAGTTCTCAGATAGAGTACCTCAATCTATTGGGAGTTTATTGATATGGAGCTAAATTTCTTCCAGGTCCTCTGCCCGTGTGAAAATAAAACAGCCTGAATGATTTACTGCTCACGTCTCTTTGTAATCTTTCCGCGTAACCAAACATTTCTCCAGCACAGGCCTC